GCAAATGTGTGGGCGCGTGTTGTTCTAGGAGTGCTGCAACATGTCTGTCTGTCTATCTATGTTTGGCAAAGAGTTGGCGTGTTGGGTCAAAACTTGCTTCACATGTCGCAACATGACTGTCTGGCTCTGTCTCGCAAGGAGTTAATCTTTCGGCTGGTTTAGAGCCTGCCCGACATCGCATCAATTGCGGCAGGCACACGCAACTTATCGACGTGCGCTGGAATCGAGAGGCTTGCAGCATTTGAAGCTTTCACCCACGCAGGCTTATGCTGTTAACAGAATTTCCTGGCTCGGACTGACAGAAGATCAGGTCGAGAAGTAGCAATAGGCAGCTCTTGCGCGCAAGCAGCATTCCGGCACAATCTCCCCTGAAAGCTTTGCCCTTCTCAGGGGAAAGCTATTGCAGCACAGAAACGGACAAGCCATTCGCAACTTTAACTCGGGCGTTCGCGCAAAAGTTTGACAGCGACAAGATCGGGAGGACCCGTCGCAGGCACCGCGCCTCCCACGCAAAACAGGCTCGGCTGTTCGGATGCAGCCAAAGAGGCGCGGGCAAACCTTCGCCTGTGTGCGTACTTCTACTACTACTACCACCACTAAACTAATGCTACTACTTCATTGTGCCGGCAATTGAGGGCCGATCGATTTTACCGCTATCTTGAAATTCTCGCTCATTTTGCACCACTTCGGGGGAGGGAGTTTTGATAATCTTGGACATCTTGCTCACCAAGATTACCGCGCCCCTCCTCTCTCGAAGTGGCGCAAGATGTGCAAGATGATCGAACTTGAGCGTACAATTTTGGTCGTTGGTCGGTTCTCGTTCGCCGGCACACAGTACTACCAGTACTACTACAATTACTACAACTACTACTACTACTACTACTACTACTACTACTACTGCTACTGCTACTGCTACTACTGCTACTACTGCTACTACTACTAGTGCAAGCGAAGCCATGGCTGAGTCAGATGAGCTGCGGTGGAATACCTGGTCTTTCTGCTCCCACCTGGAAGCGATGGCACTGGTGCAGTTTCTGCATGTCACCTGGTGTTCTGTAATGGTCACCTCCGCTGGCACGGAGTAAATTGATGCCGGGTTACGTTGCCCTGGAAGTGCTGACTGCATGGTCGCCCTCCCACAACCCCAACCTGCGTTCTGCCAGTGAAGTCGCTGGGAGCACATCACGGCGGATGGGTGGGCGACAACTACCCTTGCTGCGATGGCAACCTATGCTCTGGACTGCACACCGACTGACGAATCCCAGATTCTCTGTCGGCTATGTGGCGAAGTGGCGAGCTTAGGACTTTTGATGATGCCGGACACCACACTGCCCCCGCTGCACCGCGCATTCTGACGGCATGGGACCTACCACACCGAGCAGGGTTCCTCTTTCAGCTAGGAGGCTGGATATCCGGCAAGAGACGTGCTGCAGCAACTGACTGAGCGTCGATGGTGGGGCATTCCGGAGACATTGCCTTACCATAGACCATGCTTCGCTGATGCTCTGCCAGTGCTGTTGGCGGGAGGGACGAGACAGTGCGAAGTATTGTGCGCTCAGCAAACTGGGTGGATAGCTGGCAGGGCAGAAGTACGAGAAGTGCTGGAGTAGCTGGCTGAACGATGATGGCGGAGCCCTTCGGAATCGTTGCTTTGCCTTGGACCATGCTTCGCTGATGCTCCGCCAGTGCTTTTGGCGGGAGTGATGAGACAGTGAGAAAGGTAGTGCGCTCGCCATTGTGTAGCCAGGCCATAACTCCGCGACCCGCCTTGTAGTTCAGGTTGGCTTGCCATAGTGTCAGCTCAGGCTGGCTTACCTTACTGCTTGGACCTGCTAAGGAAACGTTTCGAGGGGGTTGTGGCCTGGATGTCGCAATGCAATGGCTGAGTACTGTAAATACCTTGTTTTGCACTGCCGTACTGCTTTTGAGCTCTTGCATCTAACGTCCTCGAACTGTCGTAGTGCACTTGCCCCGTGGGGATTCGAAGTAGCTGAAGCTTCGTCCCGCCAACATGAAAGACAGTCCTTCTACGTGTGTGACGGCTGGTGTTGCATAGAAGTTGATGTCTTGCTGACATGCGAGTGGGAGGACTGTCTGTTAATCTCATGTCAGCCGAAGTCAACGCGTCACCTGCAGCGCGGAATCCGAGCGAGTCCGACAAGTGGGAGCCAAAAACTATTACTGCTGCTACTACTACTACTACTACTACTACTTCTACTCCTGCTGCTGCTGCTGCTACTGCTACGGTGATTGTCAGAATAATGATGTGCGAAGAAATCGTTACTGCAACAGAAGAAGATTGACGAACAACTGTCCAGGATTCATCATGCATCTTTGTTGTCATGGCTGGGATTTCGGATTTCATGCACCACCTTAGGACGTCTTCATGGTGGCAGTCGCGAGTTACCGATTGAAGTTGAACGGAGCTTCGTTGCAAGGCCGGGGCTGCGGCAACGGCTGCTCCAGTTTTACGCAATGCAGGCAAGACATGGCATGGGACGGACTGCGACAGTGCCCCTTTGTCCGCCATCATGAATCAAGGTCACGAGGGCCGGGGAAGCCTCCAGAACGTCCTGTCCGCAGTTGCTCAGACAGTTCTCACGTCTTTCAATGTCCATGTGTAGATGCAATCTACTCGCACAAGCTATGATTGCATGGGTTGCCGAGCTTCTCGAAGGCCTCGCGGCAAGTGTACAGAACCAAGTCTTGTTGGACCCTGTTCGCTGCAGGCCAACCTTTTGGATCGTCTTGAGCTCAGAGACGATCGAAAAAGCAGAATCGTGGAGGAAGTCTGCCACTTTCCCGTGCACCCAGTCGAGACGGGAGTGATTTCGTGTGTTGATGCTTGCGGGAGCCTCGCGAAACAGCGTTCCAGGCAGCTCTGATGGCCTCCATCTCAGAAAGCTGGCCACTGGAAGATGCGCTGCAACATGTGGGATGGAAAGTAGCGCAGACGATGCGATGAATTCGACGAATTGAACAGCTCTGAGCGAGTGCCTAATGCTACGAAGGCTCAGCAGGATCAGCCGCCCGTGCGACACCTCGTGTAGTGGCCCGAGCTGCTTCAGGGAAGGCCTCACTCATGCACAAGATTCTACATGCAGGCAAGTGCAAGTATGAAGGCATATGTGTGCGTACTATGTGTTGGTACATGCACATATGTCAGATCCATATTTCAAGGTACCATGCAAAGGTGCGTGCGTCATATTCATGTAGAGATAGCTTCAGATGGATATGTCCAGAGGGGAGGCATCTTGTAGTCGAGGATTCCTGGGTGCAGGTCAAGCTTCTACTCTTGATGAATGAGACAGAGCCTCCGTCGATTCAGCCCGCGTTCTTGGTGTCGCTCGTGGTGGAGCCTCAGATGCAAGAGAACGGTCTAATGCTGGGAAATGTGGAATTCGGCACCGGCGTCACCAGATAATAAGAAAATGACGGTTGACTTCCTGCATGGTTTAAAGCGGTTTAGCAACACTGACCGTCCCGCAGATCTCTTATTTTGATGGCGTGCATGCTTCTTTTTATTTACATGCTAATCGGCTGCACCCTCTTTCTGGTTTTGTTTCATGATGCAGCAGATAGGGCCTTCGAACTGGGGACGCAGACCAACAAGGGCACACGCAAGAATAATCATGGGCACACCCTGTGAATGCTTAGCAGCTAGGGCTTAGCAGTTGCTTGCTGGAGCTATGGCCGAGACTCAGGCTGCAAACCGGTCAAAGAACAAGTCAAGATCTTTGGCACATGGCCTAGATCCTGTTGCCAGTGGCAGAGACCGCTTTTGATTACAGGCGCGGTTGGTCAAGAAACTGCTGTTGATGCACCCTGTCGGGCCTCGCTGGTTGCCAGCTGTCACACTTAAATCCGGATAGACGGCTGTACCAGCAATTCCTGTCATGTTTGGCCATTGATTGGGGCCCAAGATAAACGGCCCGTGGCCGAAGACCGGTATCAAGAAAACTGAAGGTACATCGCAGCAAACAGTCGTTTAAGCAACGACACTGTTCGCATACGGCATACGGATGAACGGCGTGTGCAAATGGTTCGTCCCAACAGTGTTGCACTAAACGGTGTGCGGGTGTATCCATCTCGTCTACAGTGCACTAAATGGAGCCACGTGTGCATGAAATCCCTCACTACCGTACTGTACTGTGCTGAACGACAAATGAAATTCACATGATGCGGCAGTCGAAGCAGTTCAGCCTTACAAAACGTAAACAAGATTGATGGAGCTGGTGGACAGCACGCTGCCAGGGCTCATGACGGCGGCTGACGTTGAACAGCCCCAGAATGCCACACGGCTTCGTGCTCGCGGGACGGCGGGACGCGAGATGCAGCAAAAGCAGCCAAGTCTTAGTTTTGCGCAATGCGTGCACCTGCCATGAACATCCTTGGGCGGATGCTTGGTTGCCGAGGTTGAGGGACTCCTCAAGGGTCCGAAGCATGTCCAAGCTGGCATGAGATAGTGCGCACAAGTGGTTCCCACAATTCGCAGTGATAAAAACGCCGGGCAGCAGTCTCGCCACGCAAGGAATGTGTCTTTGCCGTGGTCGATAGCTCAGGCTGCTGCCAGGTCCAGTTCAAGCTTGACAGGTAGACAGAAGATTGAATTTCCCAGCTGTGTCGCATGGCTTAGGTCTCGTCGATTTATCGGCTACTGTTGGAAACCGAGGCCAGCAAGCTTTGTGTGCACTAGCCCGCAAGGTGACAGAAGAAAACATACCCAAACCAGGAAGATGTGTTGGAGGAGGCTGCTGGTGCCTCGCCCTCAGCTGCAGCTTTCCTGGACAAAGACGCTCAAACATGGTGCTGAGCTGTGCAGCTTTTGGATCTTCATGAGATTTCAAGCACGAAGCTGCTGATCAGAGCTGCTGAATTTCAGCTATTACAAGACAGCACCCGAGCACACACGCGAGCACACGAACGACCATGCCCTGTATAAAGATGTAGTCTCAGATAGGTCGCATGCCTTGAAGGAGAGGTTTCCGTCTTAGCCTTTCATGGACTTGTCGAGCCCTTGCCTGCAATGCTGGCGGGGATGTCAACGACTTGCAGGCAGTTCTATGGATTTCAAACATGGCTGGCTGTTTTTTCCAGAGAGGTGCTTGCATGCCGTCTTGGGACAGGTATCCGCACGGTGCCGCACCCACCGCGCGTCCGAGTGGCTGCTGGAGCCCCAATGCTGAAGGAATCGCAGAACTCTAAAACTATCCCCCATAGACTCAATGACCAAGAACAGCCATCATTATGGTAAAGACGGTGCCGCTTGTGTCATGTTTGCCGCTTCAGAGGAAGAACAGACAGCACAGCGTTTCCAGACTTCTTTTCGAAACAAGGCCGTCCAATGCTCCAGTCGAATGGGCTCTGCTGCGGCTGTGGAGGAAACTCGAGCACATTGCCCGATGAAACACCGTCCAGTGGCAAGCAGTTCATACTTCGGCTACTGAACCTTGTCTCCCTGGTTCTCCTTGCAAGGACAACGCCGAGAAGATGGAGAGACTGGCGCGTAAAGCTGCTGCACCTCAGCGTGGAATGTACCATTCGAAGCCACCGTTTTGAACACCTTGCGGTATCTCAGAAGATTTAGCGGAAGAGAGAGAGAGAGAGAGGTGTGAGCGGAAGAAGAAGAAGAAGAGAGAGGTGTGACTGCTACAATTATGGCTGTAGCCCTTACCATGTTCTACGTTCGTTCCTCCCGCTCCGAGCAAAGAGGGCGAATCCCGGAACAGGGGCCGAGAATACTGACAGGTACGAGCCATGGCGGTAGGCCTTTTGTTTGGGCTGCGGGCCCTGCATACCAAGCAAGCAAGCACGGCCATAGAGAGACAGGGGATAATCATACTTGCCACACCTGGCCCCATGCTCGTCATGAACTTGTGATCTGAGGAAGGCGGTGCGAAGATCATCGTTTTTCCGGAAGCTGCACTCACGGGGAAGCTTGACGCAATACTACAGTGTTGCTACAGCGAGTCCACTGTCGGTCTTTTTGCTTTGGGTTACATCGTCCAGCATTTGTCGTCCTACGAAGGTATACATCCCAGGCTTTCCTGCACAATTGGCACATTCCACAGCGGCGGCTACAACCTCGCTTTACTGGCATCGATCCCACGGGTGTCGTGCCGAGGGTGGACTCCCCGCGAGGAGCTCAGCACACTCCCCGAGACTGACGACACGGCGAGCAAATTTCAGCTACACTGAGTTGCAAGATTTAAAGCTCAAGCTCCACAAAACGGGTGAACCCTGAGTCCTCAAAAGCCAGTTTGGGTACAGCTAGACAGGTGGCGGAATAAAACACTGCATGATAAGGTAGCCCAAGAAGGCTTAGTCGGCCAAGTTGTTTGGCTTGAACTCAGATTGCCATGATCCCAGTCCTGCGCTGTTTAGTGGGTCAGAGCTGCTGGAAGTAAGCCCACAAGATTTGTTGGCCGGCCTCGCAGAAGCACATGCCAAAAGCAAAATGCACCCTCAGTATGGTGGGGCTAGTCTTGCTGTGCTGCGTAGCACTGGGGGAGTTGAATGTGGCGGCACTTTTGGACAACATGGACTTGAGCGGAGACGGAACCATACATTGGCATGAAGTTCGTCACAGTGAAGGCTTCAAAAAGCTGCCGAAAGATGTGCGGAAGGAGTTCAAAAAAGCGTTCAAGGCGGCGGATGTCAACAGTGACTATGTGCTCGTTCTGGAGGAGTTCAAGACGTTCTATGCACGAACCGAACAGATCGTGCAAGACAGGGATCGCATGTTGGTTGAGAGGGCTCGCCGGAACCTGCAGGAAAGGAAGAAAGACATACCAGACGGAGAAGCCATGAAGTCAGAATTGTAGGTGGGCGCCCATCGCCCAGCTGTGGCAAAGTGTCATGTTGTGCCCTTCGACCGCATGCACCATGCTTACCTGAATGCGGCGTTGACGTGTTCCGAGCAATAACAACCACAACTCTGATTTCTGCTTGACTTTGCGGCCCGCCCTGCAAAACGCAAATCCTCATCGAGCATGCGTTGCAAAAAGCGGTTTAGTTATTATGATTCATCACGGCCTGTCTCTTGTCATTACAAAAAAAGATCGAAGCGGCAAGAGTCTTTGCTTCTTCCCGGTGGCACAAAAGAGTTGTTTGCCCCGTTTGGTCGCATCTCCATGAGCATCTGGTGGCGAATGCCCCAGGATAGTGCAGAAGCTGGTGGCCTTGGCCAAAGTGCCATGCCTGCAGTAAAAATTTGGAACAACTAGTGCTTGCGTGTGAGTCATATCGAGAAGCCAATCGGTTGTTGATCCTCGCATTTCCTCCACAAACCTGTAACCTGTTGCGGGACCTGTGCATGTGTTTGGCTTCAGGGATGGGGCGGTTGTTGATTGGACCAGGGATTCTTGTCGTGATGTGCTTCTCACCAGCTCAGGAGCTGCACGTCTACATGACGATCCCCTTCGTGGAAGAAGTAGAGGCCTCCCCGAAGGAAGGAGAGGCCGAGAGCCAGTTTTTCAACACAGTTTGCTTGGCTGGACCCTCCGGAGAAGTGGTGTCTCAGCTGACACTTTAAGTCATGGACTGGCAAAAGCTGGCCTGCATGTTCGGGTGCGCGAGTTGTAAGGTCGTCCACTATCGCAAAACGCACCTGTGGGACACTGCTGCGGTTTTTTCTAACAGTGTGAGCAGCACTTGCGATGAGTGGATCAACAACTTGCATTTTTTGGAGGACTACGTCGATGGAAGCTGGGCTTCCAGAGGCGATAGCCCAGGCTTCGTGGAGACGGAATTCGGCCGAGTTGGAATTGGCACCATGGCGCTCATGAAACGAGTGCCGCAAACTTTCTGCAAACCTAAGGTCATCGTTGTCGAATTCGTTTTCCGATGTATAGAAAGCATGCAGGTCTCGGCATCCGGACTTGGAAGGCCCTCGTATCATCAAACACTGCATAGCAAGCTCTCTTTCTCTCGCACTGTATGCAGTATGAGAAGCCACAAGTGGTGTCAAGACCAGGGTTTGAGATTAGATATCTTGATGCCGGGAGTCTCGGTCCTGCGCTTGCAACGGCTTTTATGTCGCTTCAGGCATCTGTTATGACATACACCGCCTGGCTCAGCTTTACTCGATTCCCGGCCACGATGCAATGCAAGTAGTTATGTCTATGCAGGTGTCAGATCTGCAGGGGGGGCCCAAGGAATGCAAATCTCTGGGCTCTCTTGTACTCCGTGGCCTGGGTTGGGCACCCAACTGATGGTCCGACAGAGCGCTGGTTTCGCAAGGCAGAGCGGCATGTCGGCGTGTCGTAGCTCGAGGATGCCTTTTGTGAGCTGCGAGTTGGATAGCTGTGCAGGATTTGTCCGAAACATACTTGGGAAGGGACGGCTTGAAGTGCTTCGTCATCGTGACTTGGACGATCAAAAAGCTTCCTTCGTGCAGGAGAGAGTCGCGAGAGTGAGCTCATGCACTAGCCGATTTCGATGGGGGGCAATGCAAGCCCCGGCGTCGAGGCCGCCAACTGGAGCACAGACCGCGAGTATTTCTGGGACGGTGCTGGCTACAGCTCCATGTATGGACAAGCTGCTAAGCTTAAAGACCCGCACAGACAGGCGCACACTCGCTCCTGGCTCCCTCCCTTTCTCGATCTCTCGCTCTCTCGTTCGCTCTCTCCGTCCGTCCGTCGGTCTGTCTGTCTGTTTGTCTGTCGGTCGGTCGGTCTGTCTGTCTGTTTGTCTCTCTCTCTCTGAGTGCCTCTCTCTCTCTCTCTGTCTCTTTCTCTCTCTGCTATGTGCATCCGCCTATCGCATCCATATCTCCTCAGCTTTCTATGCATGTGAGAGATATATACATATGTACACGGCTCAAGCCGCGGGCTCGAGCCAAGTGGCTGCGGCTGCGTCCGGGCGCGGCCCGCGTTCACCCTAAACCCTAAGCCATCCTAGGCTCCAGGTCTCCCGTGGCTTCCTGGAGCCCAGGTGGCCGTCAAAGGGGGGTCTCCGCACGCCCCCAGACAAGGAAGCAGAGAGCGACTCTTAGTCTGGCCTCTTGCTAGAGCCACGTGTCAGGGCCGGTGTTAAACGCCCGGAGTCCTGCCGGGCGCTACGTGTGACTCGGGGTCAGACTTGTCTGGCAGGTCCTGGAGTTCCACAAAATCTTCGATAAGGGCATCAAGAGCATCTTGGATGGGTCACAGGGCCAGAGTGCTCTTGGGTGCCGTCGGTGGCGGTCTCGACGTAGGCGGGGCGTCGTCCGAACAGCTCGGCAAGCTCATCGAGACTCTTTGCCAGCTTGTGCTCCACATGTCCTGGATGGTCTTGCCCGCCCAGTCGAGGTCCTGCTGGAGCTCGTCCAACTGGTGAGTCCCCCCAGCTGCGGGGCCTTACGAGGGAGCTCCAAGCCGTGACTTCAAGCCTCAAGGACCACCGCCAGCAGCAGAAGGAAGCAAACACGGAATTCTCCAGACGGCTGATGGAGATATGGAAAGAGATCTCCACCTTGAGCTCCAAGATCCTCAATGGTTTCGCAGGGCTGAGTCCAATCCAAGGAAGCAGCTGAGAGGGGAGACGAGGCTTAGCAGCCGTGCGTGTGTCGGGTCCTTCGCCCTCGGAGAAAGAGCTGCTGGAGCCTGTGGGTGAGAGCCACACGGGTTTGGCGGAGGTCAAGTGCAATCCACCGCAGCATGAGCCGAACCTCTTGAATCCTGGGGCCGAGGACCCACCGCAGCAGTGATGTTGGGAAAGCTGTTAGTTACGTGCGCTGGCCGGCCATGCCGACCCCAACTACTAGATGGTAGTTCTGGGCCCCAACAAGCTATGTACTCGAAGTAGCCTTTCTTAGTATGCTCCCTAGCTACTGCCCCTGTCTTTTGGTGACACAGCTGCATAGCTCACAAGGGGCACTTGAGAATCGCGATCGATGCATTCCGCAAGAGCATACATCGCACTTTCCTTTGCACTGCCTTTGGCACCTTGTACAGTACTGTAGCTGAACTTTCCTTGCCCTGCGAAATGTGGTACTGCCTGACCTTCCTGCTGCGCGCTGCAAAACATGTCCGGCGCCTTGGCACCGAGCTGTCGGATCTGCATGATGTACGAATCCCTTGGTTCGTAGCTTCAATACAGGTCCGCGCCTCAGAATGTTGGCTCGACTCAGGTTGGCTAGAGCGGCTAGAGCTGCCTCGATCTCTGTTCTCCTGAGTGGGCCTGCGCACCTCGCTTCACTCCCCTATCGTGGTAGATTCTGGTAGATGCAAGCTCAGACGAAGAGGAGCCTTCTAGGAACCGGGATGACGAACCTAGGTTCCTGCAATGCTATGAGGTTTTCTTTGGGGCCGATGCAAAAGCGGACCCTCAACATCCTGAAGATGTCCCGCCCCCCCAGCCAGCTTATTGGACTCTACCGACTCCTGCCACAAGCCGCCCTCAAGCAGTCTCCATACGGCCTGTGCAGTAGCATTGTAGCAGGTGCATCTCCCAGAAATTGTCTGAACGTAGTACAGTTTACGCATGAGTTCCCCCTGTTCTGTTTAGTCGTAACAAAGCACTTGGCTCCTACCTCTCCTGTCATCACTATACTAGTTTCGTTATCCGTAGGGGATGCTTTAGTGAGGTGCACAGGGGCCTGAGAAACGGGCCGACAGGTGCGGCCATTGTAGCTTTATCGCAGACGATCCCAACCGAAGGAGTGTGGGTACAGGACCGGGTCGGAGCCACTACCAATGGACCAAGTGATACCAGGCATCACCAGCAAAAGGGACAGTCTTTAGCGTCGAACATCCCTATGTCTTTGATTCTTGGAGACTCCTGCATGCTGGTCACAGCTTGGGAGATCATGAAGCGAGCTTTGTGCTCGTGGCCTTTTCCACGATCCACGCGAGCACACTGAGCTGGTGGGCCGAGGAGGAACTTCGGGATTTGGGTTTCAGCTGCCTTCTCCCAGCAGATTCAGTCTGTCACGCATGGGTGCAAGGGGTGTGCAGGTACCCGGCTAAGACAGATGAGCATAAGAGAAGCACTCAATCTTGCACCTAAGGAAGCCGACCAACACGATGTCATTGAAATTTCGCAGGAGACACAGGAAACACCCGTGAAGCCCGAGGTTCAAGGTCACAGGTGTCTCTTGGATATAGGGATACGGAACGTCTAGGGGCGGAGGCAGGAGGTCCCAGGTGATGCTCGGCAGCTTGGCTCAGCATGGAACAGGCTTCAGGTTTCAGGTGATGCTTGGTGCCTTGGCTGCAACGAAAGGTTTCAGGCTCTAGGTAACCCTCGGCTTGTTTCTTGCACCGGAGGTGTGTGTGTGTGTGTGTGTGTAACTCACACCACACTTCAGTCTGCTCCTTGCACTGCTTGCGGTTGCTGTTACGTGTACACTGCGCCATGCCTCCTTGCACTGCACTGCGTTGTTTATTTTCACCCACATTGCACTGCGCACTGTCACCTTGCCTTGCCCTTGCCTCTCCACCGTCACTGCCTGCACTGTTGTGCACTGCTCCTTGCAATTTGGCACTGCGGCCACTCCTCTCCTTTCCCAATTCTCCACCCCCCCTTGTCGTCCCCTCTCCCTGTCTCTCGGTCTCCTTCGCCCCGCAATCCTCGTTTTTTGTATGTTCACCGATTCTTAGTATAATAACTGGATCGTCCCCCAACTTACATAGCAAACCACCAACCCGCCACGCGGCCGCCATGGAGTCTCCGAGCCGCCGGACAGCTGCATGGGAACCTCTGTGTCGGTGAGTGAATACCCGGTTGAATGCTTGGGGACAAACACTGCTATGCTGGACTGCAATCCATGGGGTGACGCTGGGCGGTATGACATGGGACAGGAGCCAGACCAAAAACTGCCTGGGCTCCCAGACAGGTTGTGGTCACACGAGCGCTTGTGCTCCTGTGTATGTGGTCCCTCGAGCTGAAGTTCTGATCGTTAGGCTATATAACTGAGTTGTGAGAGACAAGAACGATCAAAAGACCTCGCAACAAGAAATCCCAGATGTGCTTCGGGGCAGCATGTAGCGGCAGAGAGTAGTAGAGAGGTGAGCACGTCAGGCATACCAGTGTAGTCGATGGCTCTAACTTCGTGTTGTGGAATGTTGTGCGAGACTGGGATGCCCAGGCGCTGCGTCATTGCACCGGGAGGGCATCGTCATAGTGGCTTCATCTTTTGTGTTTTGCTGTGTGAACAGGAACGCACCCCCGGTAGTATCACCGCCTCTTACATAGAACTGGACCTTCGCACTGCGCAAGCCGGAACACTTTGTGAAGGTAGCATGTACTCTTTGTGAAGGTAGCAGGTACTCTACTCATTTTCTTGCTCTTGCTTCTGGGCCAAAATCAGTGTTGCAGATAGCTGCTGGAACTGTTTAGTGTAGCTATCTAGCCCGTCACCCAAGAGGCACCTGCCAAACAGTCGCAAGACGCGCCATGCGGGAGCCAAGAATAATTGTGGTTGCAGGGGTGAACCTGGCCCCTGCGTTTCTCACTTTGTGTATACCCTGATGAAAGCGACTTGGATCCCGACGCGCATGTCGATAAGCCCCAGAAACGAAGGGTTCATGTTTAAGGGTTCAGTTGTAGGGGAAACCAAAACCAAAAACACCAGATAAACAAACAATACAAACACCAAAGCCGAAAAATCAAACAACAAAAGCCAGCAGATTACATAACAACACACACAAAACAACCAAAAAAGAAACAATATTTGGGAAGTTTGGTAGAGAGGTGGCTAGGCTAGGTTTCCAAGAGTTTCTAACTGTTGTTGTTTTTGGTTCTTCGTGTTTTTTTGGTTTGGTGTCTTTGTCATTTTTGGTGCCTTTCGTCGTAGTTTTTTCACAACCCGGGTGGCGCAGCTGGTTTCCCACGAGCCGCTTCTTACGTTCACGGGGCCTGCGTGAAGGTTTGTGGTCTCGCATAAATTGCGAGAAAGCATATAAAGAACAATTTTATCCAATGCTGTGGTGAAAATATTCTGGGTCCGGTGAATAATTGAAGAAAAGTGGGAAATGGGGACCCGGGACAGTGCATGGTATATTTCGTATATGGTAAAGTATCCACTTTCCATCCGATGGCCTGCCGCTATCTGCCATGCAACCACTGTTTGCAATAGACTTGTCTGTTATTCATTGTATGTATTTGTCTGTACTAGCCAGATATTTATTGAAAGAACATATGTTGAACATTTCATCAGCTTATGCAATGATTGGGTTTTGTTCAATAGCACATATGAGGGCAAGCTATAGTAGCTACTTTCCAGCTCAATATGCTAGCGATTGGCCAACGTGCAACTCACTCAGATCACATTACAATGCGAGTACATTTCCGTTATAAATTCTGATCCAAATATTATGCAAATGACTACGAGTATGAGACGCCGTATTATTCTTGGGTTCACTAGCCTTGCTCAGGCGATCTCAGTGAGCAACACACGGAAAGCTATTCTACATGCCATTTTCGTTCATCTTGGGTTAGCGTTGCTTGCATCACCAGTCGGTGTCTTTGCTATTGTAACTTCGACTGTACCATCGTCATGAAGCGTACTATTTCTGCCGGTCTGCACTCAAATCGCTGTCATCAAGAAATGCTTGGTACCTGGCACTATATGTCTGGCTTGATGGGCCGAAACACGGGTTATCAGTTCAGACTTCTGCCGAGGTCGGTGGAAATATGTTTGCATAAGAGGGTTTTATGCAAGACTCTTGCTCAGAATAAGTAAATTTGTGAGAAGGTTGCATGCAAGGTTCTGCGCTAGGATTCTGCTGGATGGTTTGATAGCCCTGAGTTAGGTCACGTGGTATCAAGTCATTGAACCGTGAGTTTTTCGGTGGCAAATACATGCCTCGTCGGAGCCACGCAGAGCCCTCTGTCTGAACGTGTTCGCAAAACAAACCCTAAGGACGGGCAAAGGCTTGCATACCTGGATGTTGAAGTTGGAGACAGCATCCTGTACAGCGACATACCATTTGACCCGTCCTGACGGGATGGATGGACTTATCCGAAGAAGTGCCTCGAGCCCTCGCTTGCACGTGCTCTCGCGATTTCATGCTCACAAGCCATCTTCAAGGAGGCATGGGATCGCGGTTGCCGGCGACGTCTATCACAGGCAGGCTCGGCTGCCTTGCAATGAATGCGGCTGTGGCTTGGACTTGCTGAGATTGCTTCCGGAAGAGACGTCCGAATACGGAGCAAAAGGTTCGTGTGCACCGGCAAGTTGCAGCGCTTGAAACTTGTCTGCTTCGAGCCAGTTTTGCTTACAGCTGCTTACAGTTCTTTGAGGAAACTCCGGTGGAACAGCGGATGGTTCGAGTGTGGGCCCTGAGCATCCCTGGGCCCTGGGCCACCTCACAGGGTGTCTCCGATTTGTCACAGCGGATGCTCGAAGCGGAGGCGACGAGCACGCCGGACGGGAGCGCAGCTGAGAATGTTGAATTTGTGGCGGAATCAGACCCCACACCACGCCGACATACGTTGAACTGAGGCCATTCCCCGGAGGGCGCCTGTCACCTCTCAGCGAGCTCTCCCAAGACCAGGAGATCTGGCCACCTGGGATACGCAAAGGTTCCGAGTCTGTCGCATCTTCCGGCGAGCAGGAGCGTTGCAAAGGAATGCTGGCGGACACTTGGGCGCGAGCCTGTCGCGTTTGACTTGAGCCTGCAAGTAAAACGCCTCACCGAATCTAGCACGGAATGCATGACATGCATGCACGCTTTGGCGGTGCACATGCAGTCCATACATCGATCAGGGAACCTATGACCTCAAGATGCGTCAAGCGACAAAGCACTGGTTTGACATCGGAAGATGGGAAGAGATGGGATGGAATGGAATTGCGGGCCGATCGCTGCAGGTCAATCCTTTCTGCTCTGGCCTTGCTGCTGCACGGGTTTCAGCCTCAGACCCACAAGATCCCACGCCGCAAGGCTACTGTACTGCTTCACTGTTGCGAGCTGAAGTCTCCATAGGACACAAGATTCAATGGCAGTGCAGCAGGCGGGGGAAGTAGGGCGTGTGACGTGTCCTGACTGTGGACTGTGGCGGTTTGAGAGGCTCTCCGCTGCCTCCAGACTTTGCTATATTGCTGCAGCAGGAGGGTGGTAGCGGTGGTCCGAGTTTGCTGAAGTAGTGGAAATCACCAACACAGTATCCGTAGCTCGCAGGCTGTCGTTGGATCAAGCTCGTGATGTCTGGACCCCGGCCACGCGACGTGACTTGCACCCGTTTGTGAGGGCATCGGATTCCTATAGACATGCGAAGGCATGTCTCCTGCAGTCCGCCACCCAACGCTGCAGCTGACAAGGTATGCTTTGCTTGTGAGTGTGGCTGCCACCAAAGGGTGCAGGATCGTGAGCTTGCATAGATTCTGCCGCCGAGGTTCTCGCGGTATGCCTGGCCGAGTCATGCCCGGGAGGCAAGGGCCGACGCATGTCCACGTCAAAAGTCAAAATCAACAGACGCCAATGGCTTGCTTCTCTCAAGCTTTTGTTGACGGCGGCGGCGATCTTCGGATGCAGCTGAGACTAAACTATATGTAATACAACTTAACTGTAAGCTTCATGTTCATCGGGCATCGGGAGCATTCTGCTCCGGATATCGGCGGTGCAGGTGATGGGCGAGATGAAAGTCCCCAGCCATGTGAGCACGCTCCCAACGTAAAGCTGATCCGAGTTGCTCCGTGTCCACGTATCTCCACACGCGCTTATGACCCAACTTCGGTTCACATCTTCAGCAGTGCAACACACTATTACTGTAACCAAGTCGTCTACGTTGATTTAGAGAGGGATTTGCGATTTTGTAGGTGGAAGCTTGGGAGACATCAGCTCAGGGTTGGAGAGCCAGGAATAGCTGTAGAGCCCTGCTTCAAGAAAAGCTAGGGTGCACGACTGGGTGCTTCTTACTTCTTAATCTAAATCAGCTCTGTGGCGGCGGGTTGTCGTTTGATAGTGGCTTTTGGAAGTGCTGAAACATGCCCCGAAACGGGGTGAGGCCCGCAGGTGCCTGCAGCCTTTGTTTGTTCCGAAACCCTTCCTGTGTTCGCGAGTGCGTGCCACGGTCCTGAATGGATATATGTCTCACCGTTGCCGTTTATGGCCCTTGGGTTCCGGTAAGTTACACAGTTGGAAAAGGAAAGCCCGACCAATTCTCAATTTCCAGTCTTAACTGTGCTCTTTGTCGTACAGGCTGACGCAGAGCTGGCTATAGGTGCTGCCAGCCCACGCCTCAAATCTCTGCTTCGTTATTCAAGAATCGTTACATGAACAGCTTGTGGCATCTGTGTACCTCCTGAGCAGCCAGGCTCCGGCAGCAATCCTGCCGGCACACCGACCGCCAAGAATCTGCTGTGTTTCAAGGCTTCGTGGGGATTCATGCAAATCGCACTGCGTGCTTGGTAGCTCAGCGTTTGCAGCAAGATAGACTGAAGCAAGTTCGCCACAGGCATTGGTCCACTATTGCTACCGCTTCGGCAGTTTGTTTGCGCCCCAGTTCGATAGCTCAACAAGCCAACCACAGCTAGGAGTGACCATGTTAGACCTATCGTGATTGTCATGAGACGTCCATGAGGTTGGGAGAGCCCGGCTGGACGATCGCATTGCGTGCCGATGCCTCGCATGTTGAGTCAGCAGACCTGTGGAATGGGCTCTTGCTGTAGGAGAGTAGGATCTTCGCTCGAACGGCTGATTGACAGGCATTCAACTGTTTGGAACGTACGTTTCAGAAGGCCAGTGCAGACCTGAACTGCTTTGATAGCGGGCTCTCGCGCGGGCGCTTGTGTGTGTGTGTGTGTGTGTGTTCGTGTGTGTGTGTGTGTGCGGGGATGTTGCTGCGAGAGCGTACTCGTTGTTTCTTTCTTTATCTCAGTCGGTGCATGATGGAAAGAATTGGCAGGCAGCTCCGGTACCTGGCTCAGACCTATCGTCACTGCGGCAGGCGCAAGGTTTTTGAACCTGCAAGCCTGTGTGAGCGCGGCTTCAGTAGTCAGGTTGTGTCAAGTTGTGTTCAGCGTCTTGTCTGCACCATGTCCTGGCAGTACGAAGTATGTGAATGGTCCTGTGGCTTTCGTACGGGCGATATGGCAGGGATAACGGCAGAAGCTGTGTTGAAGCAAGAGTTGCGGGACCCCTCGCCACATCATTGGCCCAAGGCTTCTCCAAGTTTGTACTAACAGCAAAGGCTTGGAGTTGGGACTGTCAGGGCACTGTAGTCGATGGCTGCTGTAGGTTTAAGCGTGTGACGAAACAGGGAGCCACCGACCTGACAAATGCTACCCACAGTGAGTGACCCATCGTTGAGCTCCCAGTCGCTGCTTCATTCTGCCGAATTTGTAGGCAGTGTTGCATCACGCCTCCCCGAAAGGCTCTGTGCCTCTATGCCACTGTGCAAGATATTATTAAACAGTGCCACGAAGTATGCTTTCCTGTTTGTTTCCTCCTTTCAAGCAGAGCTGCGCCATGCTTCTGGATCCTTGGGACCCGGTTCCTGGAAGTCGGCACTTTGGCCGATGCTGCGTGCTGCACCTTCATGGAAACTGACAAGCAAGGCAAGCGGGCCGGGCGACTCGTGGATCGGGGTACATCTCGATCCAAGCACGTTTTGGTTCACCATTAACAAACTGCCATCTCGGGAGGCCTCTTCCTCTGGGATGCTGTCTGCATCACAGCACGGGTTCCATCCCACGCAGAGGCTTACAGGCGCGAACTACAGAGACGAGGTGCGTCCGAGAATATCAGTTAGAAGGCATGGAATTGGCTCCTTAACTCAGAGCCCAGGCCCAGCAGTGCTGACATCCTTGCTGCTGGCTGTCAGCGATCCCGAGCAGCCGGAGCCGTCGCCGTCGACTCCCCGAGAGGTGCGGGAGACCACGGGAGACGTAGTCGATGGAGGCCCTGCCTCCCCTTCAGTCGTTTCCCCGCATCCCCTGCTAGGCAAGGCCCTGCAGTATCGGCAGCGGTGGGGCGACGCTGAATGCAGCTTAGCATAGCTAAGCCTTGTTGCTGATGCAATTCGCAAGTCTCGGGCCTTCGGTGCCCAGGCTCTCCTGCTAATTGCAGAGCACCTCTCAGCCCTGCAGGCAGGCGGGACTGTCATGAGGATCCTGAGGCTTGAGCAGGAAAACTGAAGTGTCACATGGCTGGTCTGTGTAGGTGTGCGGCTGACGCGTGCATGTGTCTCTGTGTGTGTCCGTCTGTCTTCCTGCCTGTCTGTGCGTTTGCGTGGAATGAACTCTTCCAGGGCGAAAGCAGCGTCGATCTGACAGTGCTGCGAGATCGTCGGGTGCCAGACTCAGTCTCAACTCGAAGTCAGGGTTGCGAGCAACGACTGTTACCTGTCATGGTCGCGCAGCATACTAAAGAATACGGCATGGACATGCGCCCTTGGGTGGAATCGATGTCTCTGAAATTCCAGCATGTGGGAGTTTTGTTACATGCTGTGGAAGATGCCGGAGTCTGCAGAGCAAAACGGAGGGCACCAGCAGTTGTGCAGATTCTCTTGCTACTTGTATCTGAAAAATACCCACTGCGTATCTGCCGGGAAAGTTCACATTTTCCAGCTTGGCCTCTCCGTGTCTCAAATTGTAAGGTGCTGATTCTTCATGTCGGTGGCACCGAGCAGCGAATTCCAGCGTTCTCTTTGCTTCCAAACTTCCAGGAAGGCAGCCGTGAAGTACATACCGCGTGATCTGGAGCCCAAAGCCCCTGGCAGAGAAGACACGCTGGAGGGAAGGTTACCAGTTGCACGTAGGATTTAAACCGGAAGGATTGGCGACAGGTTGCAACCAAGGTAGCAGAAGGTACTTTGCTCGAGCGGCAACCTACTCCTATGCCAATATCGGGCCAGGCTCAGTCTAGACAGGACAAGACACGGAGAGCCTGAAGAGTGCAACGTGTCGATCGGGATCATGAATCACTCACTTTGCTGAGAATGATCTGTCCATCAGACGTAGACCGAGCCTAGCACACAAAAACCAAGTTCCACGCACGCCTAAACCTTCAAATGCAGCGCCGTGTTGCAGATCTAAGCCTTTGTGCTAGCAGTCATGTTTCGATGGTGCAGGCATGCGATCCTCTACGCATGCCTTGAGCACAGTGGACCTGCTGATGGACTCAGTCTGAGCTTCAAGGAATCAAGGAACCATATTGTGCGAAAGGCCTACTCCAACAGCTTGTGCCGGAGCTTGCTCATGTGGCGAAGACCGCGAAATTATTCTAAGGACAGCCTGGCCAATCTTGCTTCACGTTGTCCACCAGGTCTGTTCGTGGTTTCTTCCCAGGAGCTTCTTTGTAACAAGCGCTTGCAAGTCTCCATAGAGTCATAGAGATCTAAACGACGGTTCGAAGTTTGTGCAGGACTCCTTCATGCAGGTTAGCGAGGGCTTCTGTGAGAGATTTGCAGCAGCGGCGCTGACGGACAGTTCCAGCTGCAAAGGCAATGCCAGTGTCCTTGAGAGCCTGGGAGGTATAGTAACCGTCGGCAGACAAGGCCTAAGATTTAAGGTGTAAGATGTTTTTGGCATGCCTCTCCCAGAGAGTCTGGGTACGACGTCAGGTTCGAGCTGGTACCGGCCAACATATCAGAGTACTGATGACAAGCGTGTCTTTCAACTTCATGCCCCCCTCATAAAAGCTCCCTCCCCCTCCCTCCCTTTCTTCCTTCCTCCCTCCCTCTCTCTCTCGCTCTCTCTGTCTCTCGCTCTCTCCGCGTTTGTTACATTGGCCCCTGACTGTACACTGGCTGCCGCAGCGACCGCTCCGTGTGTTTTGTTGCTTTTGCCTGCCAGCTGCTAGCTGCCTTCAGACAGCTAGCTAGCAGGTGTTGTTACGGCTATGGCCGTGGCACTGCCCATCGAAGAAGTTGCGGAGCGCTATGGTGCATATGCATTAGACGCAGGCCGTGCAATTGAATCAAAGCAGATGGGTGGACTGACGCCGTGTCATTTCAAACTTGAGAGTGGCCGCGGCAGACGGCACCGTGCGGCAGCTGCTGTTCCGGGAATCTGCCGAGACCCTGCGAATCCAGGCGCAAATAGGCTGGGGCCTGCCTCTTGTGTGATGCCTCTCACTGATCCCAATCACAACGTACAAGAATGACCGACCGGCCCAAGTCGCGAACTGTGCAGCATGTGCACGTGTGTGGTTTGTTCGCATTGTTCAGGCTCTTCGAGATGTACTGCCACTTGGCGGCATTAACGGGCGGGGCGGGCGGGGTGCTTCCGAGTGAGCAATCGCTTGAGGCGAAGGCGTGTGGAGTTGTTTTCTTCGATGCAGCAGCTGCCACGCAGCTGCTGCACCTGGCCTTCGATCCATCGTTCCTGGCCAAGAGTTTGGAGGACATTTGGGAAGACCTCACTAAATTGCGGTGCATCGTGATATTTATACCAGCCATATGCAGACACGTGCGCGAGAAGTCTTATAGTATCCTTAAGAGAGGAGGGTCCAAGGGGGGTACATAGCCTAGTGATCCCTAATTCTCCCTAGTACTCCCTAAGGTTCCCTTAGAGCCCCCTAAAAATTCCTTGTACCCTCCCCACTTGAACCACCCTCCCTTAAGGATCGTATAAGATTCGGGGTGTGCACTGTCAGGTTCGAGGCATGTTCATATCTGGGCATCGACAATGGTGCGACACCGCGAGGCCCAACTCTGAAGCTGCAGCTATCTTCTCACGATTGTCACAGTTGCCAGTTGGTGTCTTGCTCCAGGTTTCTCGCTGTACTTGGACCTACTTGCCGCCATGGGCACCGAGGTGGACTTGGACCACTTCTGTGCTGCCGGGAAGCTCAACTGCAACCAGGTCGTCTTCTTCCGTGGGACTGAGATGAGGAATGTTTCGTGAACAGGCAATTTCCTGCCGGAAGTCCCTCAGGAATGAAGTCGAGCCGGTCCTGCGTCAGGCAATTTGTAAGGGGCTGCAAGGTTTTCGTTTGACTGCAGCAGTCTTGGAGAGTCTTGGCGGCAACTCATGTCATGCCACGCCTTGCTGTCGTTCGTGATTCGCAACGCGTACGGATCATAATGAGCCTCAGCCTTTGCATCTTACCAGCAGCTATGTCATTCGGGAGCCTGCGACCACGAGGACACAGGATGCTCAGTATCGCTTTGCACCTTGGATCAAGGTATGAGCAGGGTGTAGATTGAGCAGCCAGCCGATCGAGTCGGCTTGTTTTGTTGAGCGAGGTTCGCTCCACGCACGACTTTGTGCAGCTTCTTTCCTCGCTGCACTCGTGCTCAGAGCCAGAGGTTCTTCATCTTGCTTGTGGTGGCAAAGCCCGAATTGCTAAAGCCTTCAGTGCTCAGTGTGCTTGGCAGGTGCAATGCTTCAGCAGTTATTTGGAAGAGCCTGCTCGTGTGGACACGTCCGCCTTCGTGGTGAACGCCGTCCTTCACAGCTGCTGTCCGACGCCCAGAGTGGAGTCACCGGGTGCATGAAGGCCCGAGGGGAAACGCTCACTACCAAGACCTACAGTAAAGGCCTGTAGAGGTTGTGGGGTCGGAACAAGAGGCTGTGCGGCCCTTTTTGGGCGCACAGTTTGGCAATTTCAGGTTGAGTGTTAAAGCTGTCAGCTGCGCCAGGTGACGTTGCCATGGAGGCCATAGTGGAAAGTTCCGCATTGGAGGATTGCCGAGTGGAGCCTTGGCTACAGACACTGCCACCCCTTAGCCTTAGGCTTATGGTTCCCACGAAGAGCCGCGATGAGGAGCAGGGAGCTGTGTGCAGCGGCCTTAAGCGGCTGCGTGGGCTGGCCATTCCGTCCGGGATTTGGCTTCAGCAGGCGGAGAGCACACGAAGCGACGCGGTCCATAGCCCGCCTTCTTGCAATGTCGGCGTTGAGCAAGGGACCTTTCGCTTCAGAGGTGGCGCTGCTGCCATCCGGGCAGAGCCAGGCCCAACGCGTCTGCTGCAATTGGAATTGTTTCCGAGCCAAGTGTACCCAGTCGCATCACAAGAAGACAAGACTGAGGTTCTGAGGTTGAAGCCTTGTTTTCCCGACATCACAACCACTGTTCATAGTCATTGCCCATCAAGTGGTGGCAGAAAGCAATCGCGGTCGTTCGTACCAACTCTGAATGCATCGAAGTGCCAAGCCGAAAGGTAACATGACCGCTACAAGCACATCTCATCCTAAGCAATTGGTAGCACTGTATGTATATATATATATATATATGACGAACACTGGGACGAACCTAACGTAGGGGTCAAGCAGCAAAGCTTCAGGACGAGGCACAGAACCGGTCAGTGTGCGTTTGACTACGATCCCGGCCTGGACTGACCCTTTGTGTCGGCGCAATTCTCGGCACAGTAACTGTTAGAACAAACACGCCTCCCAAGATGGTTGCAGTTGTGCAAGGATAGCAGCTGGTGGAAAGCCATCGAAAACTCTCGCAATGGAAACGAGTTCTGCGAGACTTCTCTAACGGCGGCACCGGGTGCATTTCCATGCGCATAACTTACTGCATAACCAATCCACAACTCGATCCTCGCTTGAAACGTGCAGCAGTCAGAGGCAAGGAAGTCAAGCCGGCTCCAAGCTTGTCAGTTGTGAAGGCCACTTCCCGATGCTGCTTGCTGACATTGGGAGTTGGCGATGAGGCGTAGCCGCAAAAGCCCAAAAGCGTTTCAAGCCGCGTGAGCTAGCTAAGGTGTCTATGCGGAATGGGACCGTGCTGAACCAGACTTGGCAGGAGCTTTTCGCAAACACAGGACCGAAAAAAGGCGTTCAACGGGACTCCTTGATCATCCGACCGTGCCACCGCAGAATTACGGACATGTGCAAGAGGACTTTGTGCCGCCGATGTTTGGCCTGATGGCAGAGGTACGTTGCACACTGCGTGTCGCTTTATCGCGCTTGATAGAATCTGATTCCGTGTGTCGGACTATTGTTCAATCTGGCAACTACCGTTTTTTGTTCTAGCACTGCAGACATTCAACAGTCTGCATGCTTCTGTGTGCTGCCCAAGGCTTATTCCCCATCGTTCCCTCGCAGGGAACAGCCAGTGGGAGTGTCTCCAACCTGGCCTTGGTTTGGGCTGCTGGGTTTCAACAAGATGGTTCAGCCATGTCAGCAACCGGCAACCAGCATCGCTTTCGAAGGTGGATTACATCGTTGCCTGCAGACAGCCGGCTGCAGCCCGCCCTTCTTGTCTGGAGACTCGGGCGGGCACAGGTCCTCGAAGCCAGGAGCCTGGAGATAACTCCGACATCACTGTCCCTCAGCCGCAGGATCTTTGGCGGCGCTCCTGGAAAGATTTGCTGTTGCATTCGGAGCGCTTATCCCTTCACGATGTGGCTTTGCGGGCTGATGTGGGTGTGGAGTTGGAGTGGCAGGACGCAGTGACATCGTGCTCAAGCATTGCAAGTTGCATTTGCTCATAACATGCGTTGTTGGATCCCTCAGCTGTCGGCAGGACACGATAGCTGCAGAAGCCAATGTGCTGCGCGTGAAGCAGTTGCTGTTGGAGCAGAAGGATGCACCAATCACGCACATTCTGAAGGCCTGCGCCACATGATTGAGAATCACGCATTGTGGCAAGTTACTATAGAATGTTGGGTGCGTCGAGAGCAACTTGCATTGAAGGACGAGGTGCGTCGAGGAAGGCTGGGGTTGCTTGACAGTTTGGATGCTGGGCGGACAATAAAGATGTTCCTTCCTTCCAGTCAACCTTGATAGCTATGTTCCCACTACTTGCAACATGGGGCTACTTTAGCAGAGTGATGTGGCCCACGACACGACGATTTCACCGCCTTTGATGCAAGCGGGTGCAGTGGATCTATCGTGCAAGAGCTGTCTTGGGTCGAAATGCGTCTCTCGCTTGTGTGCGTGTACTGAAACTTCCCGGGGAATCTGACACTCTGCGGTGTCTGTTTGTGCGGAAGTGTTCTGCCCGAAACCGGAGTGCACCCAAGGACGAGGTGGCTGCGAGTGAGGCAACACCTCTGGATGTGGCAGCACGCTCCCTTGCTCAGGCAGATCTGGCAGACTTTGCACGACCTGGCTTAGCCGAAGCTTGGTGCCTCCCATTTAACACACATCCACTCTGAAGCCATGGTGCACGTTCTGTTACGCTAAGGCATGCCATGTCACCGCAGCTAGGTGGGTTCGAGGAGACGGCATCAAGCATAGGATTGCGGTGGAGCCATGGCGGAGGACAGTCCCTTTTCCTGGGACGTGCCCACGCAGCTGGAGTGGGAGTCCACGCAGCTGGATGTCGCAGAAGAGGAGCTCTCGCCTAGAGGACGGGAGCCGACGGTGGCTCCGACGCAACTGGACTCGCCTAGCTCTTCGAGGCACCCTGGTATGCCTTCTCCCGTGGCGGCTTCGGAGGCTAGTACGGTGCCAGGGTTTCCAACTCCAAAAGTCAAACGGGCACGGAAGCAGCAGATGCAGGCCAGAGAGGAAGCGATGGAGACTGAAGCCTTTACGGCTCCAGAGTGTGTGGACCCTGAATCGGGGAAACCCGGCATGCTTCCGAGCCAGTACACCCAGGGCTTTCCTAGCACGCCGCCTAGAAAAAGGCGCAGCGACAGAGACTTCAGCCCTCCCTCTCAGGAGATGCCACGGCAGAATGCTCCGGCAAACATGGCATCGCCACCGACACAGGAGATTGTTGGATTGATAGAGGCACAATTGCGTCCCGAGGATATAGTGCCGTTATTCCGGGAAAACCCGGATTACAACATCCCGTTGGAGGCGCATAAAGAGACGGTTGCATTCTCAATGCACCAGGTGTCCCGGGACGTCAGTCGCAGATTGTGGCTCGTGTATTGCTTGCTGTGTGCAGATGCAGGGAGCTTGAGCGACCACAAGCTCGCTGGAGATCGTGAGCATACAATGACCAACCACGGCATCGCATGTGTGGGCCGCTACTTGTTGCATGGCGCGCATCAGGTCTACGAGGAGGCTCGAGCCGTGCAGAAGTCGCTGAGCGTGCGCGCTTGGCTAGAGCGCCAAGAGTGGCCCAGGGCAAGACGTGGCAAGGAGGCGGTTGTGCACATTCCACAGGAGGAGCGCGTGCCTTGGAATCCCCGTGTCCTTCGCAACCACGAGTCGGAGCACGTGCAACAGGTCTTCAGGCAGCCTAAGTCAAAGGCAGCACCGAAGAAGAAGCCCGCAGTTGCGGGAAGCAGCGCGCGGAGAGGAACGCACGAGAGGCGCGCCGAGGAGAAGCCGAAGGTGCTGGAGTTAACCCTCGCCGAGATCTTAGAGCCTGTCCAACTGCTGGCGTTGAACCACGGGGATGAGGCCGGGTGAGAGTTGCTGGATTCTATGGTAAGGACCGAATAATTGGCTTCCCGCAACTGCGGGCTTCTTCTTCGGTGCTGCCTTTGACTTAGGCTGCCTGAAGACCTGTTGCACGTGCTCCGACTCGTGGTTGCGAAGGACACGGGGATTCCAAGGCACGCGCTCCTCCTGTGGAGTGTGCACAACCGCCTCCTTGCCACGTCTTGCCCTGGGCCACTCTTGGCGCTCTAGCCAAGCGCGCACGCTCAGCGACTTCGAGTGTCACAACACCACTCTGCGGTCGGCATTGCTCGCTAGGCTTCAGAAGTACCGTCAGGGAATGGGGGCCCACGTCAAGTTGACGCGCCTCCCGGTGCTCTTCCTTTGTAAGTCGGAGGCTCACGCGAAACTGCTCGAGCAGTACACGCATTGCTTCATGCGTGAGACCTGGCCCGAGAGCGTCTTGTCCTTGCCCTCTGACCCTGGCAGCGAGAGTGGCCAAGAGACCTACAAGCTCGAGTGGCTCTCGACGATCGTGGATGTGCTGCACCGAAGCTCCCAGAAGAGCGTGAGTCAGCTGACTGCTGGCAAGAGCCTGATCTACCAGAAGCATCAGAAACGCTACAATGAAGCACGCGGCATGGTAGTCAAGGACGAGCCCAACCACAGTGCTGATCTCTGAAAGATTGGCGAACACCTCTCTTGCCGGATTCACTCATCTGGCCAGTCTCGATCTCTTAGAGATTCGCGACTACAAGTTTTGCCAGACTTCCTCGTCTGGCCTCCGAGCAGCACTGCTCCTGGCTCCGTGTTGTACAGTAATCGAGCCACACACAAGCAGTGCCCAAGGCGAAATAAGAGGGCCTTGCATCTCCGTGATGTGTTGAACCACGTCTCCGGCACATGGCTGTGTAGCGAATGCGAAAGCACTTTCTGATGTCAGGTGGCGGAAGTCCTGGCCTCCATTGCCGGGTCGGCAGGACCGAAGCGGAATTGTGCCCGGCTTTCGTTGCAGCCAGTGAATCGAGGTGGACTGCGTTCCGGCAGTGCTCGGAATGTGCAGTGGCGGAAAGCCTTGCAGCTGCTTGCGAGCTTCGAGCCAAGGCGAGGAAACACTGACATGACAGTCTGTCCAGTGCGCCGGAAACCAAGGTGTCGCAAAGAAGCAGTGCGGCTCATGACGCTGATTCGCCGCTTGGACGAGAAACGACCGAAGAAGAGCCCTCGCGCTTCGCATGTGAGACGTGGACGTAGACACCGTTGGTTAAAACCCGGTCGCGGTGTTTGTGTGGTCTTCGCATCTCGGTGTGTTCAGTTGTGATGCTGGTCGAGGATCCCACTGGTTGCTAGACGGCCCTGTGGCTACCATGCGGGCTGCACGGCATTATGAAGCAGCAGCACAGGCGGGGTCCTGCATCTGCACTGGTGTCTTATGCTGTGATGTAAAGGCCTGTGAGAGAGCTTTCATTCAAGCAAGCATAGAGTAAAGGATTTTAAGGTGCCTGCCCCTCCCGCCATCACCTGTAACTGTAACACTACCTTCCGCAAGCTGGAGAGGCTGAATGAACCAGAACCGTGGCCTGTGGCAGTATCGCAGAATGCAAACCGAATGCAAACCCATAAGCTGAATCCGCCGTAGAAGTGGCATTCGGGGTCTGTGGGAGGGAGAGCAAGCGACGACCTTCGAATTCGACCTCATCAGGGCAGACAGAGAGAAAGAGAGAGAGAGAGAGAGACAGAGCTAAGTCGTCGTCTTGTGCTACTGTGTAACTCGAGCGTGGCCCCGTGAACTTTGAGTGAAGCCTGCCAAGGTGCTTGTACGGTCCAGGCTCATTCACGGACAACCACAAGAAAGAAACACAAGAAACAAGCAAGACCAAAGCAAAACAAATCACAACTAATCTTGGATCCGATCACCTCTCCTATTTTGAGCCGTTTCTCAGATGCTTCTAGACGAGATGCCCCCCTTCCCCGTTTTCACATTCGCACGCTTTCAGGTGGCGAACTCCGCAATTACACACCTGCCGATAGACGGAAATTGCAGTGAACCCAGGAACGTTGAGGATAGAAAGTGGACCTTGTCTGAGGGCGTGAACCCACAGCCACGGCTGAAAGACGGTAGACTGGTGGAAGGGGGTTTGCATAGCCGGCCCTGCCGGGGCATCCAACGATCCACCATAAAAGCCAGACAGTCCTGGGTGTCTGCCCCAGGCTGTTTTGAACAAGCGCGGGGCTAGTTACGGCTAGTTAAAGCCTTCTTGTTTGTGCATCGACGGTAATTGGAAGCACCTGGCTAGAAAAGCAAGCTCGGGCAACGGGGAGCCAACGGACGGGTGCTGACGACACCCATGAGATCAGCTCTATGGGCGGCGGTGAGTACGAGCGCAGTGGACATGGGGGCATTGGAAACTCGGGGGAACGAGTTCAACGGGCCCAGAGCCAGCTGCATGGGGGGGGGGGGGCGTTGACGTACCGTCGTCGCAGGCGTAGCTTGGCAGGCTTTGAGGGGAGATGTAATGCTGATTGTATGCAACTCCAAACCGCAACCTTGGAGAAAGAAAGAAAGAGTGTTGCAAAGAGGGGGGTCTCACTCCATGAAGCCGCGCAGTAGTAGTGCAGTGCATGCAGTGTGTTTGCTGTGTTGCGTGAGGTATGGGCATGTTGCTGGTTTTTTAGTTCAAGCCGAGCGCCTGAGAGCGGGCATGCCAAGCGGGGACGACTTATTTCCACATTGTCCTTGCATGCTGTGGCGGAATTTCAAGCACAGCACAGCCCTCCGGGAAAAACATCCCCCAGGGGGGGACCAGGCCTCTCAAGGAACCGCGGTCTAACAGCCCCTTCATGCCCTGATGACATAAAGAAGAGAGAGAAACAGAGGCTCAGAGGAAGCAGAGAGCCTTCGAGGGAGTGTCTGGAGGTTGGAGGTTTGAGAGTTTACCTTCTTCCAACTTTCAGAATCGGTTGACACTGACATAAATGGAGCAGCTGCCCGGAAAAAGAAAGGCAGAGCAAGGTAATCAAACGATTTCGCAATGGATCGTCACCTGCTGAGCTGGGCAGGTGCTGATCCTCACTGCAGTTGCAACGCCCGGACCTCAAGCCCTTGCATTTATCTGATGCGTTTGATGCTGGTGTTTCCTGCTTTAGGATTTGATTTTGGCGGTCGCATCCATCGCAGGTGCTCGAAGTTCGTTACAATTTCGCCGGCTGGGCAGATGAAGCCTGAGGGGTGCTGGGCAGTGGTGGAAGCGCCGGCACGGCAGCTTGGCGCTGCAGTGATGCAGGGGCTGCTAGGCATGATGTCGAAACGCATTCGTATTTTTTTACGGCAGCAGCCATCGAGTGAAGGGTTATGTGAGGTGAAGCCTGCACGTGACTTTTGTCGCTTTGTGCAGCATTTATCGCGCCCAAAGCCTTGGAGAGTACTAGTTACTAGTTACCAAACGTCGGCATCGAGTAGTTTGCAGGCGCGTGAAAAAGTCAGCTGCATTCGTTGGCGTCGGTTTGAGCATCCTACCAACTTAGTTGGTCTTGGAGACGAATGACGGGTGTCCGATGCGCCGGGGAGAAGGAGGAAGGAAGGAAGGGAGGGAGGGAATAAGAGGAAGGAAAGAAGGAAGGACCGGTTGTGCTGCCACTGCCAGGTGAACTACTAAAAGTTTGCACACGGACGCAGCACGACGGCGCTGTTGTCCATCGGTTCCTCGCTTGGGGTTTGTAATTTGGTATAATCTGGCTAACTTCGGCAAACACGTTACAACGTACCTGCAGCTAGACGCAATGAGATCTTGTGCGGCCAATCCGCTTCTGCGAGACGTCACCCCGAGCAGTTGGCTGCAGGATCGACAAGCTGTCCTTATTTCGGGAACATGTCGAGGGCTGGAGTACATCGACAGGTCGGCAAGCTGCGAGAACCGCTTGAAGAATGGGGAGAGACGTGAATAAGTGAATGTCAGGCACAGATAGTTCCAAATGCAGCTAGTGTAACTGGACCCCCACATCGACAAAGGATTGATCTTGCTGGCGGTTGGTCTGATACGCCGCCAATCTGCTACGAGCACGGCGGAGCTGTTGCCACATGCTTGCAGGGAAAGACGATGTTTCCGTGCTGGCAGTATGTTGCAGCTAGCTGTAGCTTGAGGTAGTGTTGTGGTCATACAGCCAGAAGTATCAGTGACCATAAGCCATAAAGTATGCTGTTGCTGCATTTGCGTTCAAGCTGCGTGTGGCTCAACTTGCAGGGACATCCTTGTGCTTAATGACTTATGGGTTCGCACCTACTTGTATGCACAAAAAGTCGTGCTGCAAGAGACTGACAGGGAAGGCCGATAGCAAGTCCGAATTGTCTGCAGAGTACTCACGCACAAACACATGCACACGCCGTGTAGAGAGATATGTGATTGCCGTCATGGCTGAGGGTAGGTTCTTCGGTGCCGATCAATTCAACCCACGACTCATCACGACTCAGATCGTCGTCATGCAGAGCTCGTTCTGGTTTTGTCTTGGTGCAGCCGTGGCGTTGGCAGATTGGCTGTTGAGTGAAGAACAGAGTGCAGCCCAGCTTTTTCAGCCCGAAGCGTACACTTGGACAACGAGAAGGGGATGGATTCTGGCCTTAGCTTTGCAGTTCACTTCTCTGGTAATGGCTGTCGAGTTGCGTTTCGTTGTGCAGCGTGCCAAGAAGTGCTTGGATTTCGTGACAACATACCACCTGTTTCACTTGCTCGCGACGTTCCTAGCGGAAGGCTTTCCTGCAAACATGGAATGGTGGATCATCCAGCTGCCTGCGCTCATTATCGCGGTTTTGCTGGGGGAGTACTTGTGCATGAAGGCCGAAACGCAGGACATCAAGCTTTACAAGAAGCCGAAGGTGTCCAGGCCCAGCTTTGACGAGATCTAGTTGCACCCGGATGCCTTCCCTGGCAGGCTGTGTCGACGCAGCGAGGGTCTGCGAGGGAAAAGTCTCTGGCACTAAAGCCTGCACTCTTCGATTCCCAAAGACCTACAGCCGGAGTGTCTGCAGGGTTAAGTCATCGAGAGTTGGGTGGTCAGCTGCGTGCAAGTGCTCAGGTGAACGTGGCAGTGCGTGTTGATGGCCGTCGGCCTTTGGGAGCCAGAGCCTTGCGCGTCTTGCTGGAGATCCACATGTAAGGCCAATGACAGACTAGACGGAAGCCTTTGCGCTGTCTGACGAGATGTCAATCGAATTGGGCATCATCATAGAATCATAGATGCTTGCGCTTCGTAGCTGGGTGGTGGATTTACAAGTATCGGCATGATTGCAGTAGTTGCATCGCAGATCAGGCCCGCGAGTCCGTTGGAATGGCTGAGAGTGTGCTACTTGCTAGAACAGCCGGCTACTGCTCGCAAATTTAGTGTCTAGCTTGTGCTGCAGTCGATAAGCCGATCAGACAGCCAACACGCTGAGAAAGCGATGCTTGTATCGGTGTCGCCAGAATGCGTAGTAGTAGTAGTAGTAGTAGTAGTAGTAGTAGTAGTAGTAGTAGTAGTAGTAGTAGTAGTAGTAGTAGTAGTAGTAGTAGTAGTAGTAGTAGTAGTAGTAGTAGTAGTAGTAGTAGTAGTAGTAGTAGTAGTAGTAGTAGTAGTAGTAGTAGTAGTAGAGCAGCAGCAGCAGGTAGAGGAGTAGTAGTAGTAGTAGTAGTAGTAGTAGTCGTAGTAGTTGCAGTAGTAGTAGTAGTAGTAGTTGCAGCAGCAGTAGTAGTAGCAGTAGTAGCAGTAGTAGCAGTAGTAGCAGTAGTAGTAGTAGTAGTAGTCGCAGCAGCAGTAGTAGTAGTAGTAGTAGCAGTAGTAGTAGTAGTAGTAGTAGCGGTAGTAGTAGCAGTAGCAGTAGTAGTAGCAGTAGCAGCAGGAGTAGTAGTCGTAGTAGTAGTAACAGTATTACTCGTCCAAGTTCTATAGTAGCAGTTGGTCGCGTTTGCCGCGACCGGCTCTGCTGCTACTCCTCCCCCTCCTCCTGCGCTGCTGATGCTGCTCTCGAAGTATTGGCTCCGCCGATGCAACAACTTAACATCTTATATCGGCTTATTGGCTGGCTTATCGGCTTATCGGCTTGTTTTCCAAAAGACCTCATAAGATGCGGAGCATCCACCCTACACTCACACGCCCGATACTTGGATGTAGCAGACATTGATAGACAGCGGTGCCTCGCAGCAACGAATGATATCTTCCCCGCAGAGGTATGTCACAGCAGTTGGAATTGGTTCTGGAGACCTGGAACAAGGACCTTTATATCGTGCTGAAAGCAGGGCAGGTTTGGCTAATCATGTGTTTTTTGTGGCACTTTCGAAAATGGCAGGACGGCACACCTGCCATACATGCTGAAGTGAGGTGACACAAACGATCATAAACTTAAACGCCTCAAGCAGGAAGCAAGCAAAGAATTCTTAACAGTACTTGTGCTTGAGCCGCCACGCAGTGAACCCGAGAAGCTACACAAAAAGTGCTCGGGGCAGGGGTCGATAATGGCCACTAGCGATGCGTAGTACGCAGTGCCCAGCCACGAAAATGCGCGCATCAACGCACGACAACACAGGCAGACAGTCATGTGTGTGTTAACTTATCCTTCTAGCTTGAGTTTCCTCTGCACGGCAAGCAAGGACCTTGGTCCAGTTGAGCCGAGTCACACTGCAGTGGTTTGCCGCAGCCTCGCCGACCTTCAAGACTCTTGGAATTTGGCTGAGGCGGACAACTGTTGTACTTAACTCTGTTTAGGGCCTTCTCAAGAGCAGGCGCCGTGGGAGACATGCTGACCCAGACTGTCTCCATGTAGCCAAGGATTACAATTCACCAAGCGCGCCTGCAGCTCTGTTGAGTCTCGGTGTGGTGATTTTCGCGGTTCCGTCGAAGAACAGCTTGAGTCTTGAGCCGATCCAACAGCTCAGGAAGTGCTGTGTCCTTTGCTGCGGCATCGTGTCCCTAGGGACCGGCACACTGCAGCAGCAGCTGCGAAGTGCAGGAGGCCGACGGAGACGGCGGAGCATACTGCCATTTCACAAGCATACTGATGCATTTTGTTTTTTGCTTTTTGTCCGTGGCTCCAAGCTTTGCGCGATGGCTTTGTGGTGCAATGGCCTGCTCAGCCACCGCAGCCGCAGCCCCGAAGCTCCATGGATGCACAGGAGTGAAAGCGCGGAAAAGGCTCAGCATTGCAGAAATTTGGGCCAGTAACTGCAGAGGCCTGTGCCGGACATCCTCTCTGGTCTTTACCGCGCATCCCTCGAAGCTCCAGAGGCTTTCCAGGCAGAGTTTGAGGCAACCACCTCTCGCGTGCTGTCGATTCTCGAGAGCTCCCCAGCAGCAAGATACGAGTGAGGCACCGCGGATTCGCTCGAATCTGTCTTTGTCTGAGGTTTCCCACTGAAGCGAGACGAACTCGAGACGGCTCAAGGCGAAAATGCCTTGCACTTTGCTGCCGGATGTGGCAGCCTTGAGGCCTCCGTTTCCGTTTTCTGAAGCGCTGCCTCCCGTCCGCAACCAAAGCGCGGCGAAGGTCTGTCAGGCCTTGTTGGAACGCCATCCAGATCTCATCCATCAGGACCTCTCAAGGATTTCTGGTAGCAACGTTGGCACTTTTGAGCGGCGATGCCTCGGCAGTTGGCAGGAAGACACCCATGGCCACACACCACTCTTCTGGGCAGTTCGCCACGGATTGGCTGGGGCTACGCAGCTGCTCATCAGGACGCAATCTAGAAAATGTAGAAAGCCAGTAGAGGGCAGGCCGCCTGCCTTTTTCTGGGGTCTTCCATGCCAGCACTCCCGGAAGCGACTTCGAACAAGGTGTCAGCCGACACTATGCAGAGACTTCCTTGTCTGCAGGAAAGGCGCGGCATCCTGGCATTGCGACAAGCGTGGCCTTACAGCCTTGCACTGGGCCGCCGCATTGGGTTTTGCAAGGACGGAGTAGCTGAATCGCATGCCAACAGTCCTTGGAGCATGTGGCAGTTTTTTGTTTCAGAATATCTGAGCATCCCAGAAACTCTTGATCAGGCTATGTGGAATGCTGGTCGACGTTCCCGCAGCTGCAGCTCTGAAGAATCAGCGCTGCAGCAGGGGATGGACTCCTCTGCATTCCTCGGCTTACGGTCGGCTTCCCAGAAGTGTCGGCTTGTCTGTGCTTCTGCTGCAAGCTGCGAAAGGTGGTTCAGCCGAGTGCTGCACGACACTGCTCGATGCCAAAGCAGATGTCGGACAACGCACACCTCAGGAGCAGTGCGTCCTTGGAAGATGCGGCTGGGTCCGGGGTCTAGCACAGTCCTTTATGAGGAGTGGACCGCGCTGCATCTTGCTGCCGTCAAGGGGCACATCGAGGTGCAAAGAATGCGGCAATGCTGCAGTGCAGACCACTAGGAGCGATCGCTCTTCCACTCTTCCACTCATTCCACTCTCCCTTCTTCTCTTCTTCTCTTCTCGCGGCAGTGGCAGGTGCTTGAGGTTCTCTTGCCTCACTGCTCCACTGAAATGATTTTGGCACTGGACCGTCATGGGTGCAGTGCCAAGGACCTTGCGGAGGCTGGCAAGGGCGTGTCCTTAGAGTCAAGCAGTCGCGTGCGCTTGTTAGGAGGCTGGAGAACATCAGGCTGAGGCCATGCTTCAGCAGGAGCTCTCACAGACACGATGCAGTCTTGGCCTTGCCAAGATCGTGCTGCGTTGTGAGGAGACTCATCGGCAGTTGATGCGCTCGTGGAACCCATGCTCTCAAAAGCAGCCAGAGGTCGCTTCCTCGGCTTCCTCCTGAAAGGACCCGAGAAAGTCGCCTTCGGTAGCCAGTACTCTTGTTTGCAGGTCAAGCTGTCGGATTTGCTGGCGGCTGCGCTGTGCATCCAGGCATGTGCCAGGAATTGTGAGTTGGTTCATGTTCATGAGCACTAGCCAGCGATCGCGCAGGCTCCGGTCCTCGAAAAAGTGGGTCGTGATGCGGTGGAACTCAGCTGCCATATCGTGGACCTTCAGCAGCTCAACTGTTTGCGGTGTAGTTTCTCTTATGTTGCTCCCTACACCCACTGCAGTCCCGAAAAACATTTGCAACAGAGGTTCAGAGTCAGTGGCTATGTCGTGGAGGTGAAGCACTGTGGTGGCCCAGATGGTGCAGCACCGGCTCGGGTCTACTATGCCCGGACCGTGGAACAGCGCAAGGCCTTTCGAAAATGCTGTTGCATACCATTCTCCAGTCCCGTTAGAACCGAAATTGCATCACACCCACGCACACAATTTCTTCTGAACAAGACAGCCCTTCTCCAGTCCCGTTAGAATCCGTTAGAACCGAAATTGCATCACACCCACGCACACAATTTCTTCTGAACAAGACAGTCTTGATCTTCGCCACTGCACGGTCCCAATCTTTCGATCGGTCCAATCTGTTCGAAATGGGCTATGTTGTTCAGCATCTCGTGCCATCATGCAATCGAAACGTCTGTTTGTAGAGTAGGCCCTCGCGACTCGGGCCCTTGAAAAGGTTTCACATGTCGGCGTGTCACCCCACGTTCCCCGATATTCCCCGATTTCTCGGTGCGCTCCTGGAGCATGAAAGGAGAAACCCCCAATGCTCGGCCCCATGCACGAATGTGCCTTGGCCTTGCTGCAGATTAGTGCGACCAGAGATTGGGCACGCACAGACAGGGTTTTTCCGCCTTGTGGGGCAGATCTTCAGGTTATGTCAAAGCCGTGAGCCAGCAAGTATTTCCAGAAAGCTCTGGAGCAATCGAGTGGGATGTGGCCGCAGATTAACTCGTTCAACCATCATTTACCTTTGCTCACTTCGTCGAGCATCTTGCGAAACATGGGTGTGGTCTGCTGATACGGGCAGGGTGCATTGAACTGTTGGGAGGGCAGTCTCGTGGCCGCCATGGCCGAGACTCATGCAGAAGACGTGGGCATCACACGCTGTTATGTACCGTCGACTCTCCGTGCCGGTATGCTGCGGTGACATGGGAAACGAGGGCCACGTGCCTGGAGTTTTGGAGCTTTGCCTTGCTTGGGAGGTGGAGTTCGTGGAGTTCCTGGTGCCCCGCATGAGATCAAGCGGACAAGCCGTGTGGCAGCGAGGCAGCTCGGGCAGGACCAAACAGCATAGGCCGAGGTTTCCTGATTTTGTCGAGTGCCAAACAGAAAGCGCAATGGCGCAGGGGAGAGATACAAGTTTCGTATACGCGGTTGCTGTGAACGGCGCTTGGCTCCAGAACCTGGCGCACCTCGACAGGCAGCTTGGCTTGAAACTGCGAGGGTTGCGCACTGGTTGCGCATGTCTGTTATTTTACATGAGCCGAGCTTTGCGAGCCTTTCTGAGGTGATTTCTGACTGGTCGATTGCTGCGTGTCTCACCCCGCAACGCCGCCATCGTGCTTCCAGCGCCAGAATTCGTAGGTACAACTCGTTCCCCAGTTTACGACGGATGTGAGAGATGTCAATAGAAATCATTACTTACTTGCCTTCAGGCCAATCAGTTCAGAAATGAGAACTCGCTTGGACCTGCAAGTATGCATCCACATCCCTCGGTGAGCTGGAGCTGCTGTCAATGTATCGCTAAGCCGCTAAATCACGGCAGGCAAGCACACTGACCGCTGCCGCATTGCCGAAAAATGAGAGGGGCATCTTCAGCCGTCTGCTTCTTTGCAATCTTCGTGCGTTCAGGTGGCTTGCGGCTCGCAACATGGAGTTCCTTGCCACAGGCGCCAGCGCCTAGCGCCGACAGACGCCGAAGTGGCGAACAACAGAGGGCAGCTAGAGAGAGCGGCAGGGAAGCGGCCTGGGCAGCTCTTCCGTTTTGGCGGCCGCGGCGGTCAAGGCCTTGATGGCCGCTTGGGCCGATCGGAGGATGGGTGCTCTGCTCTCTTACATCTAGCATCTAGCTCTTGTAGATTGTAGATTTGTGCGGCCGAAGTCGCATGAATGCTTGGAAGTTGAGGCAGCTTTCGGTTTGGACATGGATGCGGAATCTCTCATCCATGCAGCTGGGCCAGCACTGCGCGAAATCATCTTGGCAATCTGAAGTTGTCTCGAGCCCGTGCACGTGCCGCTCGAGCTTTGAACTCGCGGTGCCTTCAGAGAACCAATAGTTCCGGCAATCACTCAAGTCCGCGATCCAAGAAACAGAGCCCTTGGCTGAGGCGGTTCAGAATGTCGAGCAGATGCTGACCACGGGTGGAGGCTGGCAAGACCAGGCCGGAGACCCGCAAACCAACAAAGCAATTCGAATGACAATGAGCCATGAGTTCAGCACACCACGTATTTCCGCACAGGTTGGTGCGATTCTGGGTGGTGCAAAGCTCACGCGCAGCAAAGCCTCGCTACCACTGAGAGTCTTGCCGGCGACTCGTCAAAGGAAGAAGCGTTCATTGTTCCTCACCGGTGGGTTGGTTTGTGCGAGCGCTCACCAAGCAAGGAGCAGCTACCACTGCAGCCCTCATTTTCAGAAGAATTCGAATCGCGCCTCTTGTTGATATTCACTGGCACCTCAGCGAGACGTTCAGGTGTGTCCGTCCTTATGGCTGGCATTCAAGTGTTCCGTCAGGCCGGCCACGTTTGGCAAAGCATTTGCTGCAGATCCTTGGATGCGATGCACGTCAGCTCGAGGATGCGGCGTGCTCGTCTGCCGCTATGTGAGTCTTCCCAGGAATGTAATCCGTCGATGGTTCAGCCGCGTACCGGAGATCTGTGAGACCGTCAAAGGTCTGGTTTCTTGACCACAGGAGAAAGCACAAAGCCTTTGAATTTGTGCGCGCTTCGTTGCACGACGAAGTTTTAGAGAACCAGGGGTTGTTTCGGTGAACTTCTGCCATTTTGGCGGCTTCGAGTGTTGTTGTGTTCTGGATAAAACTACATACATTCTTCCGTGGCACCTAGATGTCTAAGGCTGATTAAGGCAATTTACAGCTCAGTCCTTGCATATGGCTTGGGTTTAACAGCGCAGTGCAAGGTCGACAACGCGCAGGACTGCGCAGAGGCCATTCGAGCCGGCGATGTCGAAGAGGTTGGCCGGTGTCTGTCGCGGTATTGGGCCCAGAAGCAAGTGATGGCTGCTGGCTGCGAGCCACGGCCGGTTGGGCAGCTGCGGAAAATCTTGGAGGCTGACCTACTAGGCACGCCGTGACAAACTGTTCTCGGTGTTCAGACGGCTTCAACTCTTGACTCCGTTGCATCCGCGAGGTTTCTCCTTAGCTGGTGCTGGGGGCGGTGGCTTCGGAACTCTTTTGATGCGCAAACCTTCAGCCAAAGAGAGGGTGCAGCAGGCACTGGGCCAGTGTCCGGGCTTGGAGGACTGACTTGATTACACCTGGTGAACCATGAACGAACTGCGAAAACGTGAGAGCATTTGATGGAAAATTCCAGCTTGACTTGACGTAAGAAACCTAGGGGGCTGCTCTCCACCTTGCTTGCCTCTTAGTTGGTCCTGAGGACGCCTATGTCTGCGAAGCAACGATCGATCATGTGGGCATGGAGTTGGTCGGCAGTGAGACCTAATTGGAAAAAGATTCGACGGAACTGGCGGTCTTTCCAGCAGACAACTTCGGACGTCGTATGTTCTGCACATCCGGCAGGCCTTGGATTCTGTTTTCGAGACGACCTCCCTGCTGCCGGATGCAGTGAACCGCCAAGTTGCACCGCAAGGGGTAACTCATGTCCGACTGTAGCCACACCTCCTTGAAGGACTGGCCTGTGAGGGTCGCGGTTTATAGGCTCCAGGTTTGATATGGGTGTCAGGAAGTGTTATCTCCGGCATGATGGTAGAAATTCCTGCAGCTGAAGCGTGGGACATGACCATGGTCACCAGATTGCAAAAACCCTTGGCAGGGTAGTTTGCAGCAGGCACATGGCGACCACGTGTCAACTTCGTAGGACACGTGTGAAAACCGATCTTCCATTCTCACCTTGATGCCAGGCGTTAGCAGATGTTGTTGGTGCCCTGGGCCGCAACTTGAGGCCATCCAGGTTCGTGCGATCGCTGCTATAGCGCCAAAATCGCCAACTAGCTGCGACTGCGTAGCAACTGGGTAACGCATGGTACCTGTTGAGGGCAGGGCCGGGTAGGGCGAAGCAGCTTGGCGTCTGGTGACTTTGGTGGCACAGGACTGCGGACACAGAGGAGGGGACTTTGATTCTTCACCGCATGGTCCGTGCCCGAGCACTCGGACAGCCACAGCATCTCCCAGCATCTCCCTGTCGAGTAGGTCGACCTCTGCAATTTCAACTTGGCGCGGCTCTTCCTGGCCCCGAGTGCAGTCATTGTTTAAACAAGCTTCTGCCTGGAGGGCTTAACATCGGGATGATTTGTAAGCCGGCAGTGCAGGTGTGGGACTCCATTCTCAACACAATCACGGAGGCCACTTCGTGCTGGAAGCTTTCAAACTGCCTGGGTTTGAAGGGACTTCGGCTTCGTTGCGCACGTCTCAAGTTTGCAAATCCTGTTCGTTTGGCATGCGTCGTGCCGGGGACATGGGTTCGGGATGCACGAAGGAGCATGAAGAAGACAAGAGTGCTGGTCTCGCTCGTGCATCATTGCCTTGCTTCCGAGATGCTACAAGGCTCAATATCATGCCTGTTGCGGCCATTGCCATTGCTGGACACCGGTCCTGGGCTGTTTCTTGTAGCTGCTAGGCAGCGCCTCGTTGCGGAGGTTGACATCTTGCTCGCAATCTGGCCAGTCGCCACACCTGCAAGACAGGATCTATGTTGAAAATGTGGCTCGTGATCAGCTTCTGCCGAGCACGACATCGTTTAGTTTAGTCGCTGCGGCTCGATTCTGATCATCAGCCGGATCGAATCATCGTCTGATCATGTGCTTGCCAACCCCCACGAGTTCTAGCTACCGCACAGCTTGCCGCAAAAGCTGGACAGTTCCAATTGAGGCCAAACCTAGGCCAGGCCGCCAGACCTAGGCAAACACGGACCCGCCAGACCCCAAGCGCTGGACCATCGCCACACGAATTTGCTGTGCAACAAAGCATGGCCTGAGTGGTTTTGCGAACGGCTTTGCTCATTGAGTTGAATCGGGACCTGGTGTACAAAGGCTGCCAATTCCTGTCTCGCATTGATTTCGGTAGCCGGATTACCGAACATGCGACGGCCAGAATTTGCATGAGCATGTTTTAATCGGAGTCGGTCCCATGCAAGTCGAATCGCATGCTCAGCTTATTCAGCTCCGCAGGTCTGCACAGCGGAGGAGAAGACGGAGTGAGATCCCTGGAGTGCACCACGGTGAAGCTGCGATGATGGTTCCAGCTTTCTTGTGTCTGCATGGATGTATGCGCTGGAAGCCTCTACCCGTTTTTTGTTAAGGCCTGTGCGTTGGGTTTGGCGAAGGAGTTGTTGAGGATACGGCGTTTGGTTTACTTCTCGTCCTGCATCATCCTGTGGCCTTGCTTGGGACACGACAGAAAAATGTCAGCATTTGCAGCTCCCTCGCCCTCCCCTACCTCAATGGTTTGGCATGGTAAACCCCACCCCTGCCTCCTTAGCGAGCAACGCGGATTCTTCTCATTTTCCTATTGTCTTGAAAGGGCAGTAGAGGGGCTTCCCGTGTACAGGGGGATACTATCGGAGGATATCGGAGCGAAGGCGGGACACATACAACACCGACACATATCAAGCTCGTGCTATATCTCTAAATCTCTAAATCTGTATCTTATGAATAATAAATACATATATATATATATATGTATATGGTAAGCCCCCCCCCCAGGACCAACCTCGACCATTGTCCTGCTCATTACTGTCTTCACAGCGTCATGGATAAGAGCCGAAACCACTGTAAATGCCGATGGTGTTTGTGTTCCCGTACAAAGTTTGGGTAGGGAATGAGGGAATTTAGGGAATTCAGGGTTGGTCTTGGGGGGGGGGTTAGCATATATCTATCTATCTATATATATATATATATATATATACATGTACGCGGGACTCTTTCCCGTGCAGCCCCTGTTCCAAAGCACCGGGGGCTGTTCATCTACGAGGGTTCAAAGAGAAAACGGCCACGGCTTCGACGGTGTTAGTCACATTTCCAAAGCACCGATTGGACCCCAGGACCCCTTCCAGCCCCAGGCTCCGCGGCCAAGCTGCAACAACCCTCTGCTTGATACTTGGACAGGTCGGATTAGCAGAGTCAAGAGTTGAGTTTTTGCGACCGGAGCGTCAGCTTCTGCATCGGCGTGTTGTTCAGCTGGAGGTCATTCCGGAAGATTCAACTCGGATCCATTTATGCACCGTTTATCCCGTCTGTCGCCAGGCTCTGAGGAAAGGTGCGCTAGCTTTGGCAGACCATCCGGAGGCCAAACAAACCGTTCATTTGTGGAAAATTAGATGCCTGAATCACACGTGCTTTGGTGAGGAAGCTCAAGATGAACTGCTCCGCCACCTGGAGGTACCGAAAAGCTGCCTCTGAGACACCGACTTGAGTACTCAGTATCTTGACGCAGGTTCTCCTTCGGAGTCCGCATGAGGACACAAGGGCCAGGATATGTGAGGCCAGAAGTTGGGCGGGGCATCCAGAGACGGGTAGGGAGACAGAGAAGTGAGAAGAGCTCATTGAATGTCCGAGAGACTGCCCCTGGCTCTAAGTGTCTCATTAACCCCAAGCAAAGTAAAGTTCAGCTATCTTTTGATGATAAACAGAGTGGAGCTTCCTTCAATGGCGGTTCGCGAGCTCACGTCATTAGAGCCTTGCGCTCTCTGTGACAGCACCTTGGATGGACGCCAGACATCCCCGCACCAGCTGTTGAATCTCCCGACCGAACTGCATGTACTTACATCGGGCCAGCACGCGAGTTGATGTGAGTCAAGAACCTGCCAGTGGGTAGGGTTGCTGCCGAGCGTTCAGCTGGTTATCAGGCTAAGCATAATGATAGACGGGCACAAACCAGAGTATTTCCCCCAGCTTTGACATTTTGGTGCTTCTTGCTGCTGGTACAGCATGTACGCCCTCATGGCTTGAAGACAACAACCTGCTGCCAGGGTCTCTTGAGTATCCTCCAGACGTCTGGGCAGGAGCTCCACAAGACAGCATCAACCTGACGTGTTGGCCAATGTTTCGCATGACATTCCAAGCTGCTGACTTGAACACGGAGTACCTTAGCTCTGAAGCCATTCATTCAAAACGTCATGATGACTTGCTGTGGCGATTTCAGTGATGAATATCTGCATGCCCTCAGCCGAGGCTTGGGGCACCATGCTGGCTGCTTACCCTGTTCAAGTTCTCGTCAGCACTTCGTATGTGATAATACCTCAAATATCGAAAAACTAGGCCAGGGAAATGTGATACATTGGTGGAGGTGAGACTGCAAAATCCAGACCAGGACAAACGCTCACGCACAGCCGGCGAATCTCCTGACGACTACATAATCTAACAACCGGAACTCATGTCGTAATGATTGTGACCTTGGCTAGCGACTATCTGTTGGGATGCATGACACTGGAGCTTCTGGGCTTAGCAATTTGGGCTCGACGTGACCCAGACGGTCAGCAGCCTCCGGAGAGTCAGAGGCCGGGCTTTCCATGTGAGGGCTGCAGCTACCTGCTGCAACTGACACGGGGTGGGCTGACAAGTTCTAGTCTTGGAAAGTCGTGCGCAGGAGCCTTCATGGCAGAGTCGGAAGTAGCGATAGCCGTCTTGCCCTCGGCACGTGCGGCAGTCTTGCCACGTCAGAACAGTGTTGCATTAGGGATCAGGCTCAGGTTGATAGCTCGGTGGCACAATGTGGCCCGCAACTCTACTCAGCCTTGGCCTTGGAACTACTGAGCGGCAGGGACCTCAGCCAAACAGCTCACGCGATCAAGTGCCTCGGTGGAGCCCAGCGTTTTGAGAGACGATCTGAGGTTTAGATCTCGTTGCCCCTCAGCTGCAAAAAGCACCACTCGTGGCCGGTCGCAAAGTTCCAGGCATGCTTGACATGTGGGAGGTTCCTGAAACCAAGCTTCTTCGACCAGAGAAGCAGCTAGAGATCTACCACTATGCCTCGCAGCTGTATGAGTTCAGAGATGCCATCCTGGCATTTTGGCGAGAGGCGATTCATGGCATCATGCAACCAGATTTTTGAGCGACTCGGGTAGTCTCTGTTGGCCCGGCCCGCTGCCGTCAGGAGCTCTCCGAATCCTCCCAGCTTCCAGACGCTTATCGCGCAGCGGCCCAGGCGGTGAAGGCTTGACGCAGACACTGATATCACTGACTGTGCCCCAGCAGCTGTGGATTCTTGTCAGCATAGTCTTGACCGAATCCGTCAGGTTCAGTGGCAAGGCCACGGTACGTGGCCGTCGTTGGCAGAATTAAAGGGCAAGAAGGCTGGGCAGGTGTCTCAGCGAGAGAGAGAGAGAGAGAGAGAGAGAGAGATAGATAGAGCCTGACCCTTGCGAAGCGAAGCGAAGAGATAGATCAGGTGCTCCAACTCGCGCGGGGTAAGGGCCTGGACGCTGCCCTTGAGTCCCACCTCGTAGAGAGAGAGAGAGAGAGAGAGAGAGAGAGAGAGAGAAAAGCCTGTTTATATAAAAGAAGACCTGAGGACTCTTGTGGAGTAAAAGACTGCATCGCAACTGACAATACTTGTTTAGTCGTCTCTGATGATCCAGTACTACCTGTTATGATGGGCATTGGCCATACCTTTACGATGCTTTAAAGTGTTGATGGGCGATTGCAGTATCTGGCCCAATTCGCTGCGTACCATGAATACATGTGGCGGAAGAAGCCAACCAACTCCCCTGCCAGTCCGTATCTCTTGTTTCGAGAGTGTAGCTATGATATCTTCCCTTTGGGTTGACGGGGAGCAATGAGTTGGTATGTATGTGTCTTGGAGAGCGTACAGTCACCCAGCTCAGTTGTCGTAGATTTTATGGCCTTAGCCCATCCGAAGGTGGCAGAGTGTTAGCTCTGCCACCCTGGAGGGTGGACACTCCCTGGGGTGGGGGTGGTTTGAGTCACACGCCGATCGCAAGGGCCCCCTCGCCTACTTTGAGCAAGACCTTCCTTGAACCTGGCCCCTGAGGGCTTGTTGTGAAGGGTGGCCCAGCAGTGGGGGAAGGCAGCATGCAACAAGACCGTGGACCTCGGAGTGATCCCGCAGACCCTCGAGAACTACGTGGACAAGTGAGCCGTGCACCAGGAGAAGACGACTTACAAGCATCCCTTCCTCGGCGCCGACCATTTGCAGACGCAAAACTACCCGCTGAATGGGAGGGGGACAAGAACGCGGGGATGACTGAGCAAATGGCAGGAACACCAAGAGTGAGAACCACGCCCTAAGATGGAGAGAAGGGGACACCATCCCCCCGAGTGCACAAGCGAGCACCCTTTACGTTGAAGGCAAGGCAAGCGAAGCACGACGGCAGTGACACCAGAGGAGCCGTGAGGCAGTGTAGTTTTTTTGTTTCTCGACGTCCTCGCTTATGCACAAGCAGACGCTTCAAACAAAAAAGAAGTGGACCAGACCGCTGCACCTTACCTCTTGAACTAATTAGAGCGCGGGGGGCACGCGCCACAATCCTTTCGCGAACCTCAAACTGGAGTGCCCGCAGCAAGCACACGGCTTGCGGGTGAGGGGGCAGTCGATGTTTTTTTATGCTAGGGCGGCCTGTCAAACACGGTTGTTGGTACGAAGTGCGAGGAATGGGTAGGGGAGGGGGGGGAGCGGGGGGAGGGCGGGGGGAGGGGGGGAGGGGAGGGGGGGGGAGAGGGGCGGGGGAAAGGGGGGGGGGGGGAAACCATAAACCTCTAAAGGGGTAGCTCTAACAGGTACCTACAGCAATGGCTGCATGCTCATACATATACATTCCGCTGCCCATTGGCTCACAGTGGTTTTACCATATTGAGACAAGACAAGCTCTCCTTGCGTAGCAAGACAAAACAACTACTGTCCGTGTGCAGGGCGCTGCCCTTTGATCCTTAGGGAATAAACTGGTCATACACCTCCTAACAAGGAGCATTTCCTTGTGGGTGTATCGGCACAGTTTTCTGGTAGCGGAGCCCGGAAAGGGCCGCCCGCCTCCTAAAGTCCGCTACAGCGGTCGGCCTCGCCGAACGCTTAACCAAGCGGATAAGAGGCAGCACAATGTCGAGCTCGCATAGCGAAGCCGACGGCAGTTCCCAATCCTCCGGGGGATATGAGAACGAAGAGACCTCCCAAGGTCCAGCCACTTATGTCGCACAGTCATATGCAACATCTGACCGCATGCTTGCATCATTAGGCATAACGCCCAAGATCGCGCCTGCCTATGATGGCACCACCTCGTGGTTTGAGTATGAACAGTTGATTGACGACTGGTGCGACATAACAACGCTGGATGACACCAAAAGAGGTCCGTCTCTCAAGACGAGGCTCTCCGGATTGGCCGCAGTACAAAAGGAATCACTGAACCGAGAAAGGCTTGCAGCCCCAGATGGAGTAGATTACTTCAAGAAGAAGATGCGTCCATTTTTCGTGAAAGGAGAACAGTACGTTTTCCTGTGGCGTTTCCTCGGCCTATTCAAGGCATGGAAGGGCAACCAAGACTTTGTGACTTGGATTGCCAAGTTTGAGATCGTGCTACAGCGCGTGAAAAACTCATGGATGGATCTCTTACCAGAGATAGCTCTGGAGGATGCCCATCCAGATTTCATGCAGGCTGTGCAAGCAGATCAAACCTTCTTGCGCCTACAGGATGCAACCGAGAGAGACACATACGCCGCACGTTTCTTCGAAACATGGAACAAGGAACGCCTTGATAATCATCGAAGAGCGTTTCCTCTAAATGATAATCTCCTAGCTCTCCTCTTCCTAGTGCAGTCCGACCTAAATGAGATGCAACGTGAGAGGTTGGTAACAGCATTGACCAACCAAGGTCACCGAATTGAGACCTACACGTACCCTGTGGTACGGCAGACCATGTTCGATCAGTTCTCAACGACCAGAACTGGTCTGCAGGATCCCAACATTCGGCACTCTTCTCACAAGAAGGACCGCCATGGAAGGAGAGACCAACGCCGCAAACGCGGAGGTCGAAACTTCCTCATCCTCGATCAGGGTGAATACGATGGAGTCGATGGATTCTGGCTCCAAGACGAAGACACCCTTGAGGAAGGCTTTCTTGCCGCCGAGGATGAAGAAGCTGTCTTCTGGACAGTTGATGACCATGAGGCCTTCGTTGCAAGGAGATTCAAAAAGGGAAGAAGACCAAGAATGCGTCCCGGATCACCGGGAAGAGCAAAGGGTGGCAAGCGAAAAGGACGTGGCCGTTTTAGGTCATACCGCGGAAAAGGGAGAGCCAACCAGGCAGAACATGATCCAACTGATTCCAGCTATTTCGGTAAAGGTAAAGGAAAGGAAAAAGGAAAAGGTGGAAAAGGCAAAGGAAAAGGAAAGGACAAAGGAGATAAAGGAAGCTCCTTCAAAGGCGCAAAGGCAAAAGGCAAAGGTAAGGATACAGCTAAGTCTGCCTCCTTACAAGGAGACCAAACTGGATCTCCACAGGCCTATGAGAGTTCCACCGCACCGAGCTGGGATTCATGGTATGAGGACAGTTATTATACTGACTCCAGTTGGAATTATGCCGCTTATGACGATCAAACGTCTTATACATACTATGCATCACAAGCCTCACGAAGAAAAACACGGAGAAAGAAGAGAAGAAATCAAGCAGGATCATCAGGTAGAGGCACAGATCCGAGCGCGCACCAAGAACCCGTGTTCAACTCATCAGTGAGTTACGTGCCCCAGGTCTTTGAACCATCCGAGGGGCAAGGTGTTGAAACTGCAACAGCGGTGTTTCCGTTGCAGCACACCGTCCTATCTGCTCTCACAGAGCGGATCAATCTTGATAAGAACCCTACCTTTGTCATACTTGACTCAGGTTGTACTAGGGCTATGGGTTCCCGCTATGCGGTGAACAGGCTTATCAAGGCCGTGAAGCAACGTGCCCCAGGCATGATTGATTTCACTTTCTCACCTTCGAACACGAAGTTCTCTTTCGCAGATAGTGAAACAGCTCTTATCAAGGAGCGTGTAACTCTATGGTTCAACACAACTCCAAGAAGAGATACAACCATAGAAGTTCTGGATCAAGGGAGAGTTCCCATTTTGTTCTCCATCGAACAGATGAGGAATCTAAGAATGACCCTCGAGTGTAGTCCCACAGCTGACCTAGCAACGTGTGAAGCTTTCGGTTTGTATAAAACCCCTCTTCCGATTAGTACCAATAACCATTTGGTATTGGACCTTCTAGGCTTCACGTCCACCAGGAAGTATCTCCCTAAATCAGGTACGTCGTTCAGTGCGACAGAGACTGCTCTAGGAGCTGGGAAGCCAAAGGAAGAAGGAAGATCTTATACTAGGATCCCGGAAGGTCGCTGTCCAGCTTGCGCAGGACAGAAAAGGGCTCATACGTACCTCAAAGGTTGCGACAAGGCACCTGAGGGAGCAGCTGATCCACCACCGAAGAGGATTTCAGGTAAGAAGAAGCCTCTTCCATCTGATCCGGCAGAATCATCTGCCAAGAAACCCGATCCACCAGAACTATCTGGTGATGCTCCTGAGCCTTCCGAACCATCGGAACCATCATCAGGCTCTAGAGACAAACCGGCAGAATCATCTGCACCGCACGAACCTCCAGAAGAAGAAAGACTTGAGGTTCCACCTGCGAAGACAAAGACTCCAAAGGGTCTTAAAAACCTTCTGAAGAAAACCCGCAAATATGCGGTCAAACCTCCTGTTGAAGAGAAGTCTACAGTCCCAGGAGCTGATGACGGGACGGAGGTAAGACCACTTGAGTCAAGAGAATACCCGGCTCCTGGTACAGACTCACCTACAGGTGAAGAGACTGTCGCAGAACCATCGCCATCTCTTCCCATTGCTCTTCGCAGGATTCATGAGAAGCTTAAGGACCCTGTAGAACTCTATAAGCTTCACCTTAAGCACCGTCATATGAGTACGGATCAGTTCAAGCGACGCACGAAAGCCTTACAGATCCCAAAGGAGATATATGAGCTATATGACCAACTGGTCAAAAAGTGTTCAGCCTGTCAGGAACACGTGAGAGCTCCTTCAAGAGCGAAGATTTCCGGTTTAAGATCAGAGACTTTCGGTGATCTCACCTTCGTAGATCACGGTGAGCTTCCAATTCCCGGCAAGAATAGTCGCTTAATATTTCTTATTCTCTATGACGGAGCAACAAACCTGTTGACTTCCGAAGTAGTCCAGGATAAAGAAGAGCATACTACAATGTCGATTATGAATGACTACTTTGAGAAATTTCAGATCAACCCAAAGGTTGTAGTTGGAGATCAAGCATTCATGACTCCAAAAATGGAGGCTTAT